ATGACGGTGATGATGATAATTATACTGATGATGATAATTATGGTAAAAATCATGATGATGAGGATAATAAAATATTGAAGATAGAATATTTTCATAATTTTTTTAGTTATTTAATCGTGACAAATAATCATAAAATTGTAAGCGATTATCATTATATCAATATCTTTGTAGACATTCATTCATGCGTCATGCCGTAATTGATGTTTTTGTTGTTTTCATTTATTATTTGTTGTTTTTAATGTCAATTTTGTTGTTATTGTTGTTGATGTTTAATTTATTTGTTTATTTTATCTGTTAATGTGTTTGCCTGGATGGTTGCCTACGTGCTCCTGTCTGCGTGTGCGGTCTCTGCAACTTGCTGGTCGTAAATCTATACGAGTCCAGATGTGTCGTGCAGCACATGTAGACGCACATATTTTCACCTCCTAGAGACAATTTCATTCTTCATACATTAATAAATAAATATATCAATAAATAAATTACTTAAAAGTGTGTGTATCTGTCTGTCTGTGTGTTCGTGTGTTTGTACAGGCTTGTCAGGGAGAGTGAGATGATGCTTAAAACCTATTTTGAGTAGAGGTGAGCAAACTGTGGTCGGCCAGGCCATTGTTTGTAGCCAGCGAACGTTGTACGTAGTTCAGTTTTATATAAAGTAAAGTTTTTTTCCATTTGTTTAAATTTCATATATTTTATTTTATATTCTGTTGATTGTTAAATTAAAAAATGCATGGATTGAACAGATTTTTTAGACGGCACGATGATGTGACGACGGCTAAGTGTTATTGCAGTGAATCGCAGTGTCCGTATTCGACCGCAAAGAAAAGCCCCTTCATATCCCAGGCAATGTGCGTGATGTGTTTTTTTTATATCAATGTTTTTTAAAAAGGTTTGAACAAATTTGATGGCACAATAAATCATATCTTGTCGGTTATAATATTAAACATTATGTTGTTTGTAGTAGTTGTTTGTTTAATATCATTTTGTGTTGCATGCTGTGTGTTCTTTGGATAACAATTATATATAAAAATTCAAGTAGAACATATATGCTTAATATAAATATAGATAATTATATATATGTATATATATATATATATATATATATATATGTGTGTGTGTGTATATTTATTTATTTAGTATATATGTGTGCGTGTGTGTGTGTGCGAGTGTGTGTTGGCCTGTTGGCGTGTGTGTGAGAGCAGGCATTAAAGCTGTTGTGATAGCGAATTGAAGAATACAATTAAGCCTTCAAGTCTTTCTCACGGCTTGTTCGTCTCTCTCTGAATTATTCTTGTAAATTATTTTCGCATGTATATTATCAGTTTTTATGAATATAATAATATTAGTCATAATTATAACAACAAACATAATGATGATAATGATTATATATAATTAAAATTTATTCTTTCACTTTGTGGAATTCTATAAAAATGTTTAAAATTCTTATTAGGTTAATAAATACGTAAGAAAGTTATTACTGTTGAAATTGTATTCAAACCAAATCTTTCGTTAACTTGTTAATGTCATTGAAACGATAACATTAACTTAATATATTATCGGCACTGCGTATTATGATTAGTTCGATTATTATTATTACTACTACTATTATTTATTATTACTATTATTTATTATTTGTTGTTGTTATTAATGTGGTTGTTCCTGTTATGTCTTTGTGATTATTGATTAGAATGCACAGTTGTGTCTTGTGACAAACATCAACAATAGCAAATTTAAATATTATTCAAGGTGATAATATTACTACAATTACTACTAGTAGTCGTAAGTATTAGATGTAGCGATAGAAGTAGCAGCAGCTGCAGTAAAAATAGTTGCAGTGCATTAACAGTAGTATTAACAATACTAATAGTATCACCAGTAAAGACAGTAATAGTAAAGTATCAATAGAGCAGTAGTAGACCGGGCAAAATCAATAGTGGCTATAATGAAAGTAGAAGTAATCGCAGTAATAAAGGCAATTACAGAAATAGAAATATTAGTAAAAGTATTACTGATATTTCTACTATTTCTTACATATATATATAAGATTTCGTGATATTTATTAACAAATTGTTCAACCTTTTTAACACACGTCGACACTCCTCATTGGTCACGTCAAATGTCTCTACTCCTATTCAATTCTGTATTAACCAACTCTAATTTTGTTGTTTCTTTCGCATGTTCTTTCTCTCTCCCTCTCTCTCTCTCTTTCTCTCTCTCTCTCTCTCGCTCTGTCTTTGTCTGTCTCTATCTCTCTTTTTTAATATTTGTATTATTATGTCTTTCTTTTGTTGCCCTCTATATTTATAAATATTCTTAATGCACTCTTACCCATTATTTTTGAATTAATTTTATCAAAATTTTCGGTGTCTAATATAATATTACATTACAATACAACACGAATTCTGAATTTCTTATTAAATAGTAGCAATGAGTAATCGAGTCATCACGTGTTTTCTGTTTGATTAATCATTAGTTACTGAAACCACAATTTGTCAATTTGTCATTCAAACTTCTCGTTATTTGCCAGTCAAATTTCTCCTCAATTATCTAGTAAATTTAACGAACGCAACCTACCAACCAACCAATCAACTACTAAACAGCTAACCAATCAACCAACCAACCAATCAACCAAGAACCAACCAACCAATCAACCAAGAACCAACCAACCAATCAACCAACCAACCAATCAACCAAGAACCAACCAACCAATCAACCAACCAATCAACCAAGAACCAACCAACCAATTTATTAACCAGCTAATTAACTAACAGAACAACTAATTTATCAATCATTCAAGCAGTTTTTTCATCGACAACCTGACTAATTAAAAAATTGAACAAGCAAGCAACCAGACCACAACGTGCAGAGTTACCATGGAAACGTGGATCAATCAAAACAGTAGCCAACCAAAAAACATGGGTGCGTTCAAGATGAATTAATTATGCAACACTTCATAAATAGTTGACTGATTAGTTTCAGTAATTTGTTTGATCGTACTTGGGTTTGACTGCTGGTTGATGCCATATAATTTTTCTTCTCGTAAAGTAATTAATACTGGTTCTTGAAATATAAACATTTTTAATATGTTTCAATTTATTTTACAAAATTTTATTTAATTTAACAAAGTTTTTAATAAGTTATTCTCTTTGTATTGTTGACGTTTCATTAACTCAAAAAAAAAATTTATTCAATCTAACAATAGCTCCAATTAGCCCGCTAAAAACACTTAACCATTCAATACATCGATTTCAAAGCTCTCAGTTAAGTGATATCAATTAGCCTTCATCGAAAAATACTAAGTATCAAAAAATATTAGACGTTACTCTACTGCTAATAATAAATATAATTATAATTCTACTACTGCTACTGCTGCTGCTGCTACTACTGTTACTACTACTAGTAGTAGTAGTACTACTAATATTACTACTTCTACGATTTCTGTATGTGCTACCTTTCCACTGTTACAATAATTCGATTAACTATCTACTACTTTCACCAACAACAGCTGATAAAAACGAGATAGAATTGCATGTAATATTTGAAAATTAGTGTAGTACGTTTTGACTGACTCTAACAATGTTAGTTGATACAAATTATTGCTAATAAATCTTCAAAAAATTAATGTCAAATTTTATTGAATTGATATAAAGTATTGATCCCAGTTTATTTACATTTGAAAAATACCGTTATCATAATAATTATTGTAATAAAATTAATAAGCCGTATCAATTATGATTTAGCTTTAGTTTAGAAAGATACAACATTTTAATAATTTATTTAAAATAGAAAGAAACGATATCAAAATAAATGATACAAATTAAAATTTAACATACCGGAACAGAATAGTAATTAGATAGTTAATTTTCATTTTTGTATCGAAACATCTGACTTTGATTTGTTTGAACGAATATCCATTCAAATTTAAAACAGTTTCAATTTGTACAAAAGTATTTAGCAAAACTTAATTTAAAAAAAATAACATGCACACTCTAATCTATAACTAAATACAGATTAACAATTCAGAAAAATTATTCTTAATTAAAATTCACATATCTGATCCCCTGCTATCGATCGATGGCCATATTTTATGCCTTGAAAGCATGCATTAATAGTGCTGAAACCGTGTAACACCTGTCTTTATATATACAGACTACCTTTTCTAATACATCTATTATATGCACATGTATATATATACATATATATATATATATATATATATATATATATATATATATATATACAGTACATGCTATACTATATATAAATATATAATCTGGATTTCTGGATTGATAGAGATGGTGATACACCACGGATATGCATATGTATATATGTTGGCAGTACATGCTATACCACACATTACCATATCTATCTATATATATATATATATATATATATATATATATATATATATATATATATATATATATCACTTTCTTCTTTATATATATATATATATATATATATAGGTTTATTTGAGTTAGATATATATATATAGGTTTATTTGAGTTAGATATATATATATATATATATATATATATATATATATAGGTTTATTTGAGTTTGACGGATTTAATCAACGAATAATTAGTTGATTCAATTTTTGACAGTTTGTTCAACCACATCAGAGAATCGATGGCAAATTATTTGATAGACCGGTTCGTAGCTTTGTGCGTTTTAACAGCATTTTTGATTCAAAACTCTTTAATCAAAATCAAGAGTTTATTTATTAATTTAAATAATTTGTTGGCTAAAAAATATTCATAGACGTAAGTAAACGCGTTTGTAAAAGTAGCATGAATGAAAATTCGAGACAGATTGAAATACATTTAAAATGCGAAAAGCCCTCAATAAGAGTCTAGTCTATTTTATCCAGGTAGAAAAGTTTTCAGGCTCCAATTGAGATGTGCTCTGCGGATGGAACAAACTCAAGGGACGGAAATTTCATCGCCATGTTTTTAAATTTCGTTATTCAAGCAACAATTTCGATTAGTTTTATTTTTATTCAACAAAATAATATATTTCGCAAAAAGTTCAATATATTAGTTTATTTAGCAGAACTAATTTAATCGAGTCAAAAACGCGCTTCCATAATCCAGCAATCAAATGGTATTAAAATAGTTGTGTAAACATTCCGAAATATAAATGTGGATCGTCAACATTATAATAAAAATATGTTTTTCATCACCAAGTACGACAACATGGCCACCCGCCACCTGCTTGTTATCATCAATAGCAACGCAAAAAATAATACACAGAAATTGATAACATTGAATCAAGGCATACTGTGTCTGCATATGCGTATGTGAGCTTGTATGTACGCGTGCGTATGTATGTATGTATCGGGGTTTGAATGCATGTACCCGTCTGCACAGATGCACGCAAACATGCGTTTGTAAGCACGTGTCCTTGTGTGTGTACGAAGGTACACCGACATTCATGTATCCACGCATTGCAAAACTGCGTAATGATGAAAGTTTATATACATGAGCAAAACAATGTTTAGATCACATCGTACATGTCAGCAATGAACCCACACAAGAGCAACTCATCAAACACATACCTCCCTATATCCCGACTAATCACTTTTCACGCAATGATATACATACAAATACTACTTAATAATCCCAAATGAAGACAACATAACACGAAATACACAGAACACCGCATAGAAATGACGAGACACGAATTTATTTCCACCATCTGTTATTTCCTCTCACCATCAAAGTGAGTGCAAAGTACACAATTTTGCCTTTGAAAAACAAACTTGGAACGCTAAAATCAAATTTCAGTGTTCTGGACTGAATGTAACAAAAAAATCGCTAGGGGTGCAGAAGGTACCATAAAAAACTGAACATTCACGGGCCTTCACTCTTGTTTTTTCCTCATTTTTTACTCAAAGCAATTAAACGCCACTGCACATACCTATCAGTATATAACATACTTATTGTATATTAAAGCATATATATTCGTACGATTTATATTTTTACATACGTTCACGCAAGACACGTACCACATAGGTACATATATATTTAATCATTCATGGAATAAGTCAACGTAGTTTAATTATAAATAAAAATACCAGAAAGAAATGTTTTTCCATAATAAACTGCATTAATAAGGTTTTCCTGCTTAAATGAAATGCTAAAAATTTTATGGATAAATAAAAATCGTAACTACACTACAGTTAATGTCAATCAGTTAAATTTAGAAAAAAAATATATAACTAGCTATAATTAACTTAGTTCATTATTAATAATATAATATATATTACATACATACATACACACACATAAATAATTGTTTATATATAAAGTGGAAAAATAATAAAATGTGGAACATGAACAGAAAAACATATTAATTCTATTTAAAGACAAAATCGAGAAGAATGTAATTGAAAAATTAAATAAACTATCAGACACAAAAACAGTGGTTCTCACACGAACATTAAAATAACAACGACATCAATAATCATATAACATGTTCATAATCAACCGCATCTAATAACACATTAATAATGAAAAGTAATAATAAAAGATAGTCTGCCAGCGTCGCCACCACCACTACCACATCATCAGCGGTCACCACCGAAGACGTTCTCACCACTGTAGGCCACATAAAGGAAACCATCCTCGTCTTGGTTCTCTGAATATACATGTCCCATTGTGGCACTGTGTTTAGTTGGTAAATTTAAATTTTAGTCAATTGTGATAATGAAAATAATGAATGTTTGCTGTACTGTATTTATGGTAATTAGAAAATTTAAAAAAAAAAAAAAAAAATATATATAATATATGTATATATATATAACAAAAGCAAAACAGTATATAGAAAGAGTTATTGGCATAGCAAACAACCTGGTCTGTGGAAGCACTCTGCCAACAAAGAGGAACAGGGACTTGGTAGGATCCAACTGAATTCTTTTCCTTATGATGAAGATGAACTGAGCAACGTTAATGTCTTTAGGCACGAGAAACTTTCTTTTGTCGATGGGTGCAATGCTGGAACCAGGCAGCTTCTCAACTATTACCTAATTAATGATTTTGATTACTTTTTTAGACTAATCATTACATCAGATATAACTCTAATGCACCTAGTCAATCATGAAACTTGATTTTTAAATTACCTTTATTCATTTGAAACAAAAAAAGTATAGAAGAAACAAATGGAAATAAAAAGCAAATTACTGGAATTCTGTCAGGATATTTCATGAGCACCTTGCTTGCCTCATCTTTACGTTGCTCTGTCAAATATTGAATCAACTATTTACTTGTTAATTAAATATGTAGAAGTATCAGAAAAGTGAAGAAATCTAGAAATACAGATTTGTTGAATCAGAAAGTTTTAAAAGTTGCAAACACGAGCAACTTAAAAGAAAAGACAGAATTAAAAATTTGAAGTCTAGTGTCTAGACTTTTAAAAAATTTAATTGAAATGAATTTTATTTCAACATGATACAAATTTGAAATACTGATAGGGTTTAACATCTCATGCACTTGAATGATAACAATGTACTTTAATGATCCTGTGATTTCACAATTTTTGGTAAATGAAAACCATTGGTCAGGGTAATTAAAAAATAAATTACAAAAGGTTTTTAAATACAACTAACAAATTATTTACCATTAGGTACCAAATTTACAACTAAAAATTTTAAATTGAAATAAGCATGATACACCAGCCAGCCATGGAGAAATGTAATTTAATAATCTAGCAAATCACATGATAAATATAATTGTCCAAACCTTTGAAAAAACAAAATCAATTTAGCATAAACATAAACCCCAACAGAGGTATCATAAATTTGGGTTTAAACAATGTATATTTTTCAAACCGTAAGCATCAAATTGTTTAACCAGTCTGGAAAAAAACAGAACATGTATAAAAATTATTTAAAAAAAAACAGCAGACCAATTTTACTATTTCATAAATTTCAAAATAAATAAATAAAAATATGATTTAATCTCATGACTACAGCACTGGATTGATTCAACCATAATAATATTATATTGTTTAATTTAGATAGATGAGTTGATGATCTTGGCATTTTCAAAAACATTTATCAAACGATACATTTCTGTCAGATCATATTTCCTGGGAAAACTTAAAAAACCTTTTAATTTAATTAAATTATTATCAGAAACGAACAAGAGTCATCTTCTGATGTACCTAAGTTTGTTTAGTAATTCTTGAGCCTTTTTTAAGTTGTACATAGTATAAGTATACTAAAGAGGTTTTGGTGTGATAGATGCTTGTTGTAAGAACATAAAGTTTGCAGATTTAGCATATTAGCCCCCATAATAAAAATATATATTTATTTTATTGTTTTAAAATTATTAAATTGTTTTTTTATTTTTATTTAATATTCAATATTCAATCATCTAGCAACTGACAATGAATCATGAATTGAATTGCCATATTATTCATTTGGGAATGACAATGAAAACATACATGAGAATAAAACACAAAGGAACAGTTCAATACCTCAATTTCTTTAATTTTAAAAAGTATTTTACTGCTAAATAAAACTACACAAATTTTGACACAGTTACACCCACAAAACTAGAATAAAAATAAAGTTTAAATTAAATCAAACCACCTTGCCTTGTGACACAGCAAAATTTTGTAAGACGCAGTAACAAAATTTTCATTAAAAACCGAAAGAAAACAAAGCCCTTTAAAAAACCAGTAGTCAATTAGAACTAAACAAAGTCAAAACAAATAAAAGCTACGAAAAACTAACCAAATGTATTTTCTTCTTTAAATTTGAAAACCATTTTCATTCTTGAAGTAAAAACTTTTATGAAAAAAGAACAAAAAACAGACGACTTCTTTGTCTAAACTATTGGGAAAGAGCTCGATCACTAACAAAAGCAAAAATATCTTTGACGGAAATTTATTATTTCATGATAGTGTTAATTTTTAAAACATCATTTTGTGGGGCTTCACTTTATTAAAAAAAAAAATAGATTGTGTAAAGGTTGTATCTGCTGTATCATATCCATTGCATTTTACTCTTATTTTAGCAATGAAATTAATTTTATACGTGTTTAAAAAATTATTATTTATCTTTTCATTGAAATTTTTAGTAATACGTTATTGAATTGTGCGAGACTGATATTTTACACGGCTGAGACCTCAACCATATTTTTCCTATTTTAAAATCAACTGGAAGTAAGAGCAGGATTGACGTCGCATCTATTATAATTGTAAAAAGGAACCTCGAAAAAACAGCTGAATTAAATTAAATTTTACGCAAACACATCCAGGTCAAATTTCATGTCATGTATTATAGTTCAATTCTTACGTATAACTAGTAATAATATTCCGGAATTGAATACCCTGTATCATCTAAGTTAAGATATAGTGGCTTCAAAAGTTTGTAAGCTTGAGATTAGTAGACACCCACTAAAACATTCCAAATTTTATAAGAACTGAGAGCCATCAAAAAAGTGATCTTAACTTGATAACCATGAAGGAGTTATTAAGAAGGATGTTCGATTGGATTGACAAAGAATTAATTTAATAAAAGTTAAATTATCGATTCTTTTTTTCCGTGACGAAAGCAATTCAATTCTTCGTGCATTTGAATAGCAGTTCTAACAACAATTTCAAACTATTGTGGCGAAAGGTCAAAAACATTTAAACATTTAATCAATCGTTTATAATTATGTTTTATGTGGCAATAACTAAACTAAATGCGCTGCGCGTTTTGGTGTAATGTCAAGAAGCCTGTACAACAATTGAAAAATTAATTCTCGGATTAATGAAATTGTCAAGTTAAAAGTTAATTTCAACAAAGTTTTGCGAAAAATCATTGTTAATGCTGTCAAAATAACCTTTCGATCTTAGAACTATCATTATTTTTCCATCGTTATCACTAAGGAATTTATTAAATGGTTGCTAATCGCTGACAATGTCAACACCAATCTTTAATGTAAAATATATAAAAATAACTTGGAAACTTGGATATCAGTCAACCGATGTTGATTGTGAAGACTTCAAAATATAATTAAAATGATAGCTATCGTTATCTTAAATCATCAACGATAAAATCAATAATATCTTGATACCATCTCTCCTTATTATCACACAACACCATCATCATTACCATCATCATTACCAACTTTATATCATCATCATCACCATCATCATCATAAGAACATTAGCATCACCCAAGCACTCAACATCCATAATACATGAATAATTTTTCTGACTTTATGTGATGTGTTGAAAAAAATGGCACTTCAAAATTAGACATCAAAATGTGATGTAGTTGAGAGGAGAGGTATGACAATGAAAGTTGTAAATTAAATTTTATTTCTGAAGCGCTGACAGCCTTTTAAATTAATTATTAGTGACAGCAGAATGTGACTTGAGAGAAGAAAAAAGGTGGAAAAAGTAGGAAAAAACAAAAATTGAATTAAGAAAATTAATAATACAAAAATAAAAAACGAGTTGAAATAATGAAAAGGGAAAAAATCTAGTAATTGAAAGAAAATTTATTAGGAAGAATTTTGAAAAATCATCCCAACATTCTTTTCTAGGAAATGAGTTATGAGAGAACCAAAAAATAAAAATATTTAGAGGCGATTCGTTAAAAAAAGTTTGTAAGAAATGTTTCCATGTTTCTTTTTGGCAAAAATTCCAAACAGTGTATTAAAACTCTGAACGTTGTATAACATGAAAATAAAAAAATTAATTGATTAGTAACTAATGAATTGTGATAATTTTTCCAAATCGTTGTTTTTCACATTGGAATGAGGTCATGGAAGATGGCTATCCGGGGCAAGCTACGTACATGCCCGTCAATGTCATAAGCTTAACTGATGGATGGATTGGATGTTGCGAAGTGAACCTCCAACGTCACTTTTAAGATGATCTAAACAAATTTATTGCGAACTTTTATTCCAGCTAATTATCATGACGCGGAATGCACTTATTTAAAATTTTTTCGTCAGTGCTTGCTTGGCTTTTATTCAATAGTAGATGTAAATACTGATAATGAAATTAATGTTTAGAAGTCAGAGTTGGAAATTTAAAAAAAGGCATCTGAATGAATTCAAATAAATGTTGCATTCACATTTTGACATTATCAAAATAATTTTCAATTGTCTCAACGGAAGCAAGATAAAATCTTTCAATGTAGTTTTTGAAAATTTTTAACCAGCTAAGGACCCACTTTCTCTGAAGTGCCACGAATTATTTTCAATTATTACACAAACATCAGCCGAAATTAAGCAGAACGAACATTCACAGCAATTATTACTCAAACCCTCCACGAACACACTCCTACATATCATTCTCAACATACACCATGCATTTAAGTAATTATATGCATGCATACGTCATACACATACACACTCAAATAAACATACAGATAAACATGCTCACATAGACATGCAAACACACATACATACGAAAACACACACAACTCTCAAACTAATGAAAAGATAGTATACAAATGCAATATGTGCACAAATATTCATACTTACACACACATATATTCACACAATACACACTGATTCATACACAGAGGCACATGAACGTATACAACTTAAAAGTATGACAAAGTATGCAAACAACAGGCTCTTATGCTTTTTGATCTATGACAATTGTCATATCAGTTTCATCATCGATCTCATCATCATCGTCGTCATCGTGTTCTCGTCATCATCATCGATTCCATCATCGGTGTGGATCTCTTGCTTCGCTTTCGAACGCAGACACAGTGGCAAACGCGCCAAACATTTTGACCATTTAAACCGTTGCACCGCCCCACTACAGTTGAGGTAATTATGAACAAAAAAATTATCATTGTCGTCGTCGTCATCGTCATCATCATCGATTATGATCTTCATGATCACGGACATCATAGCAATCATCAATTTTCAGTGAGTGACGTAAATGTAGCGTTTAAGTGTTCGTTCGTGGTGGCATGCTAGCATTCATCATCTAATTACGCTTTAAAATTATCCGTAAACTCATGAAGTTAAGAACTCTGCCAGTTAAATGTTATTATAATTTTAATGTTGTTTGCCATCACCAGCACTATAATTGCCCTCATGTGCGGCTGTTTATTGAACTTTTTACATAAATTATGCATGTACTTATATATATATATATATTAATTTTGGGTTTAGTATATATATATATATATACATATATAGTATATATACAATATATATATATATACTATATATATATATATATATATATATATATGCCAGTATGTTCATAAAAATATACAAACATACCAATGTTTATGACGTGTGTGTGTGTGTGTGTTTATGTGTCTGTGTATGTGTGTGTTTATGTGCGTTTATATACGATTATGCGATACATATGTGTGTGTGTATTTGTGTGTTTGCGCAAATAATATGAATATGAACAGTTCACACGGACGTTTATTATGGCTACAAGTTACAGGTATCTGAATGAATTAAACAAATTAAAGAACATTAACGTGAGGAGGTCGATGCGGGGCTTTCAACACAGTTGTCATTAAACTGAAAATAACATCCCAACTCTGAATGAAAAAATGGAAAAAGTTGAAGTAATGACCGAGATAAACAGAGAGTGATATGGAACAGGAGAAGAGAGCAAGATAAAGATAGACAAAAAAATAGAAATCGATATTAAATACAGAGAGAGAAAGTGACGAGAGAGAGAGAGAGGGAGAGAGAAATAACATAAAAGAATAATGACCAACAAATAGACTAACAAATAGAAGTAAATAAAAAAAATAGAAAAAAAATGATAAAAAGAAAAAAATTGAAGATGATACGTAGGAGGAGAATATTGAACTAATCAGGGTGGCGAGCGATGCCAAATGTCGTGATGGCAGTGGGGAAACAACCACAACAGCCGTAACAACAACAGCAATATTAATGGAAACAGCAACATTTATTATAAATTAATTATTTTTTAAATACAGTCGATCCTTTTTATAGCGAACTTTCATATAACAAAAATCTTCATATAAAGAATATTTTTATGTCCCTTGAAATTTTACATAGAAAACTGTTTCTATAGAACGAAAATTATTTTTTTTAAAACGAACAAAATTTATAAAAGTTAAAAGAAATATCCAACCGGCAAACATTCAAACATTATTGAATTGATATGAGCGGTGCTGTTGTACTCCCATAATTTTCTAGAACCATGTTTATTGTTTCCTGTCCTAATATTTCAGTAATTTTTGCGAATTCCGCCCTAACTAATTTCAATAGAATCGGAATCATCGTTGAATGAAAAAAAATAAATATATTTCATTTTTAGAATTTTATTTTTTACAATTATACCATGTATTACTTTTTTTCTGTTATCAAAATAAATAATTAGGAGTTTGTTTTTTATAAATCTATAATATATGAACACCTTTAAGCCAATATAAAATTATTTCCGGACAAATTCTATATAACGAAATTTTTATATAACAAACTTTTTCCTGGAACCATCAAATTCGTAATACGGAGGTCCCTCTGTACTATCATATCTTAAATAATTGAAATAACAACTAGACGTTATTTACGAAAAATGTTTAAATTTATAGCGATATTAACTACACCGAAATAAAGAGAGACGCGATTTTTGATTTGACAGTCGTCATTATTAACATTTCGATTTTCCTCTGTTACTTTCTTGAAGAAAACAATAAAAGGCCAAAATTTATTATGTCAAATCATTAAAAACGAATGGAGAAAGGCAGAACAATCGGGATGAATGAATGGAAGAATACTGCATAGATGTATGAATGGGTTAGCGGATGGAAGGAAAGATGGATGGTAGACAGAAGGAAGGATAGATAGATGGATAAAGAAATAGCGGATGAATGTGTGAAAAAAAATTTCTTAACTGATATAGGAGCAAAGTAAATATAAGCCAACATACTAATGATAAATTGAACAAAAGAACGAACGCAGAACATTTGAACTACCCATGAAGAAATTGTGAACCAAAAATGAACATAATTAGTGATGGTGAACAAAAATCGGAACGACAGACAAACAAACGAATAAATAAATAATCGACGTACAGAGGTTGAACAAGCGAGCCAATGAACATTGAAAATAATGAATGAGAGAATAAAATGAACAATGGGGATTCATCTCCTGAGAACTAAACACTTACGACAACTCGATAGTATGACATAGGCACGCATCGCCCTGTTCACGCACACGCACCGCGCAAACAACACGCACACCCAACACGCAATGAAATAAACAACTACACGTATATCCTCGAATATAAATATACGTATTTTAGGGTGCATATATATCATATGTACACGTTCATTCACACAAACACACGCGCACACACATGTATAACTATGTATAAAAACTATATTGTATGTTATACTCAAACACATAAAATAGACATACAAGTATGCATACATATGCAGTGATATTCAATGAGACGCCTACATACAAACATTGACAAACAGGCGCGCACACATATACACGAAAACATTTTTAAATGCTGAAAATTTTCTCTGTATAAAGGCAAGAAATTTTGTAAATAAGAAGAACACGACTGAGATCTTGCTAAAATTCTGAGTCGAACTTTCAATTTCGGCTAAACTTTCAAGGTTTACTTTAAATTATGAGCATTTGATTCGATCTGATAACGTTTTTATTAAAAGTTAATCATATTTGTAGACGATATTTATAGCAAAGTTACATTATCAATTTTTCATACATTATAATGATTCATATCTCATATCTTGTTCGATAAAAAAACTTATGTTTATCATTTTCAGATATATCATTTTGACGATAACACCAACAAAAACTTCAAGAACAACGTCAGCAAAACATCACCGCCAACAAAATCATCAGCAGAACCATTAACTTTACAACAGAAACCCCAACTCCAAACACCAGAACATTTACCGACCATATCAAACAGCATCAAAACCAACTTTACCACCATTGAAATCAGCAATGCATTTTCAGACGATACCATCACCGTCATCATCTTCACCATCAAAAGACGTGAACTACCAATCATCTTCACCATCATCATCAAAAACAAAGCTCCTCATGTTCGTTGTCTTACTCGTTCTCGTACAAAAGTTAACAGCCCAACCAATCGCAAGTCTGCAAGATGAGTACAACTACGATGTTAGTTGATTGTTCTCTATTGTCTATTTTCTAATATTTTGAGTTTTATCAGTTTTAACTTTTTTTTACTCATAAATTTATTTGAAATTGTTGTAAGCACTTTTGAACTTTTAAAATAGAACGATATAAATGCTATAATGATCTTACTACTACTACTACTACCGCTGCTGCTACTGCTACTACTACTACTACTACTACTACTACTACTACTACTACTACTACTACTACTACTACTACTACTATATTAATGATAATGATGTGAAAGTATGTCTAATTTTTTTTTCGGCACGCTACAGTGCCACGATCTTCAAAAATTTACAAACTTATTGCGTTGACATGATTTACAACGAAAAGACTTGAGACTGATAGAACCACGCAACACAAATCTTCCGGCAACCAACATCGATGAGCTCAAAAGTTTCACAAACATAAAGAAAGCATTTGATAAAAATGGAAAAATCACATATTTTGTGTATAAGTTTTGTGGAGGTCTGAGAGTTTGTAGCGTTGCACGGCAGACATTTGTTTGATCCGTCAGCGCGCAAGAGCAAGCAATAGCGTGAAACTTGACTGGACTCTCATGCGCTGAAGGGCCTCGACGTTAAAATTGAGACCAACATATTTAAAAAACCTTTGCAATCGACAGCCAATTCTAGGGTCTCATTAACTTCAAATCGTCAAAACATTCAAATTTGACATTTATTTATTGTTTCATAAGAATTCATCTAGACTAAAAATTTTTTTAGTCTAATCGCATTCCGTTTACAATTCTTAATAATATGGAAATAAGTGGGAGTTAAAATCGAGACTTAAAAAATGTTATGAATTAATTGATTTTTGGGTTAGCCGGCTGCAATTGACATTTTTTACTGGCACGTTAATGTCATCTACCTTTATTTAAATTGTAAAATTTTTCTACAGAGTTCGATTCTGTATTCTCCAGTTAGACAAGATGCCTGAAAATGCACCACCATCCGCCACTGGGAGTCGAATGTTTTATTATGATTCTCTGTTTGGGAAAGATTCAAGTTTTAAAATAAAAAATGATAGAATAAAACTAGTGGTGTCAGAATGATTTTTTCGCGTGAAAAAAATTGAACAAATGACTAAAAGTAAATTTGTAATGATGGCAGGTTAAAAAATTTAAAGTAGATCGGCAGACGTAATTGAAGATGTCAAAATAACTTGAGTGGGCATTGCTTTCTAGCATTAAATTGACTTTGGATAACCGATCTTTTTATATATCTGTGCTAAATTTTAAGATGAAGATTAGGGAAGGAAGATTGTGATGCAGGGTTGACGACAATGATGTTGGTGCTGGTGTAACATTGGAGATGAATTTGAAACATTTAATAATTATCAACATTAAATATTGTCAATAAACATTCATCATCGCGTTCATATTTCGCACTATTATTTATAATGTTTCAAATAGTAAGAAAACTGATAATAAAAATAAATAACAGTATATGGAATTGATAAGAAGTGCTATAAAATATGTTTGTCCTCGCCCTACTTGAAAAACAACACATAGGTTAAAAATTGCCGCTAATGGTCGGTTGCCAATAATGACCGCATTCGCGTCTGTTCTGCTGTCCACCACTGAAGTTCATCATTCAAACCTGTACTTTTTGTGCAAGCTGACTTCTCAGAATGTTCTGCAATTTATTTATTTGTTTTGTTGTTTCTCAGACAGCAAAAAACTGACCATGTAATGTTTTTTTTCTGTTTTAGTTGTTCCACTTTTGTTCTCTCACTTTTCCAATATCTAGCTCATTTGCACGCCTAACAAGGCAAACATACTCACACAAGCACAGACATAAATGTATACATTGACACACACATGCACCTAAACATTCATACATACATATATATTGTAGTTAATGGCAGAGAGATGAACAAACAAACACTTTCAAATCAACTTTTACGTGCCACACAATGGAATATTCATTTGAATGGCGCATAAAACAGGGAAGGTTGGATGAAAAATGTCAGCAGGAGGCAAATTGTTTGTTCGTTCGTGTTGAATATCGAGTCGGTTAACCAACCAACTGCTTTTAGCACTCTAACGAATTCGACTATTAAAACGTCGGTATCGGTATTTGTGAACGTTACTGTTTGTTTTAACACGAGAGCGAGTGCGTCTTGTTTTAATGTGGATGCAAACATGATCGTTCGCATGAGATGTGCTTGTCTTCGAGTGTCAGTCTGCTCATGTTCGATCATTTATGTGCACGATGAGGTTTTGAATGTGTGATGTGTGTGTGTGTGTGTGTGTGGTGTGTTTGGTGTGTGTGTGTGTGTGGTGTGTTTGGTGTGTGTGTGTGTGTGTGTGGTGTGTGCGTGCGATGAATTGATGTTGCAACTATTCTGATTCTGATTATAATAATGTACAGAATTCATGATTGATGAGTCATTTAGAATTCATAAATTACATAATTGATACTGATTGTTGATACTTTGATGTTTACTACCTCGTAATGAAGTGGAACGAGGAGAATCAAAAGAATATTTGCTGTTTGTGAGAAACAAAATAAGTTGAAAAATACGAAAATAAACGTTGGTAAATTAATAGATTTTACAAACAGATATAACATAACGTACAAAACAAAAACACATTCATGTGGAAAACCGTGTTTGCTTTCAATCGTATCGCAAGTACCTCAAAACACGTATAAAACTTCAGATAGAAATTTGACATTATACAAGTTACCTTCCAGATAATGTATGGCACCTAAACAACAACCTAATTGTCCTGAAAGAAACTGTTGATTCACCGATGCAAACCGAAACTATTTCAATGAAATCACGAAGATAGGCAAGCAGAAAATCAAGATTGAACAAACAAATTTTCGTCAGATAGGCATGCTGACAAAATTTTTTGAACGCACGCTAACTTCGTGTTAAGCATTACATGTAATTTTGTATAATTGCCTTCCATGTGCTTTTTGAAAGAGTTAAAACTTTTTACTTTTTAATCCGCTTATATTTATATCTGTTTGTATTTGTATTTGTCTGTTTGTATCTGTTTGTATTTGTATTTGTCTGTTTATATCTGTTTATATTCGCTTTAATGTTAGTTTATGAATGTTTGTACGTGCGTGCGTGAACGCACATCTGAACACTTTCGGTTTCAAGATAATTGCGTTTAACTATTTATACTTTTATACAGTAAGTATTAAATATTTTAAAGATAAACAAGACTATATTTTTATATTTTAAATGGACGTAACTAAAGTATTAAAAAAAGAAATACTCAAAAAACTATGAACAGAAAACTAAAATTGCTAACTTCAATTTGAATAAATATTTCATAAACATTAAATTAGTTTTTCATCATACCTTCTTTCATACATTCAAATATAAAATAATACACATTCAAAAGATATTAACAATGGCATTGTTTTGACAATGACATTGTTATATTTTACAATATGAATTATTTTTTTAAAGAACTATCCTGTATTCAACTTCAAAACTCAAAAATATTTTCTCTCTGTTTACAGAAAATTATTTATGAAATTAAAAAGTTTAATTATTAAATAGCAACAAAACAAATGCTGAATTTAACTTTGAAAATTTGTTCCTTTGTAATGAGGATGAACCACCTACCTATTCAGCGAACACAGGAAAATTAATCATATTCAGTCGGGTAATGAATGCAAACATTTTTGGCTAATTTTAAAAATTTCTTCATTCATCAATTTTAATCTTCATTTCTGACGAAAAATTTTTTTAGTTGGTAAATTATGAATTCGAATACTATTTTTAAAAATGATGGAGATAAAATGATTATCTCAATATAAATGTAAAAACGCTGAAACTGAAATGCCAACAGCAGCTGGAGCCCAGCCCCGCCTCGAGTTACCCATCGCAGAGAAAACACTGGAAAGAGATGATGAGGAACTTCATGTTCGATGATAGGAGCGACAGCGAGCGGCTGAAGAGAGCCGACGAAGCCACAGGTGAATCAAATTACTATGGCGATGACGACAACAACGATGATGCTGGTTTTGATGATGCTGGACGTAAGAAACGAGCTGGCAGTGGAAAGTACCGGAAAGATGGAAAGAGAGTTCCTGGCTCCAGACCAAAGACCAAAACTTGTTTCTTTCACGCTATCAATTGTTTCTGATTGTTGGGACGATTTGATGGTGATGATGATGAAGATGATGATGTGATGATGATGTGTGAGTGGTGATGGCTGTGGTGAATACACAAAAAACGATAATGGTTATTATTGACACGTTCAGTGCATGACAACTAATTTAATGTGATTTAAATTCTAATGTTCTGAAAGTTCATAATAATGACAATGATAACAATGTTAATGATGGAAATGATGATAAAAAGAACGATGATCATTAACATTTAATTAAGTTTTTCTGTGTTCATATCAAAAATTAAATACAATTTAAGAAATCACATTGTTAATTTATTTGAACATTTCAGAAAAGTTGGTAAGACAAATAATAAGTTATGTAAAATAATAAAAGAATTTCGTATACCACGCATTTATGTGACTACATGCATCGATTAACGTTGAAAACCATTTTGAAATTTGATCGATCTAACAACTCGTTCGTGTTAAATTTTCAAAATTATTTCCAAAAATTATAATTAACGATAATAGTTATCACAAAGTTGGCAACTTTTTTCGTATATCTAATATAACTTCAGTGATGAAAATTTCGATGAAAATTCGTTCATTTACGAATCAATCTAAATGTATTCCAGACCGGGTTTGTGGAGGTCGATGGTCGCCAATGTCCTGATTGGATAAGGCACGAGAAAGAAGAAGAAGTGCAAAAATCTAATTGGAAATCAACATAATTAATGGACTTTTTTTATTAGCAAATAAAATGCTACTGAAGTTGTAAAAAGTTTTGAGCGTGTGTTAGGATGAAAAGTTTTAAATTTGAACATAGAGTCTTATAACAAGCACAGCAAATAATTGCTAGTATATTTATTATATTGATCGTTAATTGTAATTTATTCAGCGCATCATTTTTATATTTAATTTGAAATTATACTAAAGGTTTCCGCTTTGAAAAATTGAAATAATAATAGTAGCGTTATTATAAAAATAGTTATATTACAAGTAGGCCTAAAAATAGTTTTTTCTTTTCTATTGTCAGTCAGTAACATATAAAGTTAAATTAGTTGATGTTTTTTAAAAATTGAAACAACTTTTGGCACTGCCTGCTGATGACGTTAGTACCTGGTTCAAATTCAATTAATGCTTCTAGTGCATGCGTGTAATTCACTTTGTGTTTTTATCGATATTAAATCTTTAGTCATCAAAAAAGTTTCATGCTTAAAAAATATTTCATGTGATTATTATTAATGGTTTATATTAGTCAACAGCTTTATTTTGATCCGAAACTGTTCATCAAGTTATAAATACATACCATTGTTCCGTGCTCAGACCGTTAAGAAAAAAAATTGTTTTTATCCATTGGTTTATATTCTTAAATTAAGCTAATGTTAATAATTTATGTCTTGCAAAAATTTTCAATAAGTAATTTTCGAATTTAAATGGACATCAGGATCCATATATTATAGTCTAAATGTGCCCTAAATATCAGTTGCATAATTCGTGTTTGTTGATGATAATGTAACGCCTTTAATTTCATTGAAAATCTTTTCCGTAGCCAAAAAAACAAATTGTAATAAATTTCAAGTGACTTATTTAGTTAAATTAAAGTTAATTGTTTGGTTAATTAAATGATATAATGAATTATTTCAATATAATGGACGACTGTTTCAGGACGGCGGTGACTACGCTCTTCTGAAGAAAGATCACAGAAAATGTTTTTTCAGTCCGGTTTCTTGCTACAAGTGTGGCTGCCTGAGTGCAAAGGGCCCAACATGATGGCCCTGGGTGGGGTCGCTGAGATGGTCGCTTGTGTGACCCCTTTTTGACCAGTGTGGCCCATTACAAATTTAAATTCATACACAATGGTAGCACAGTTAATTTGAAAAAAAATGTTTTAATTGATACACAAACATAATTAATTTTAACATTAATAACAATTGTCTTTTGAAGCATTTGCATTATTAATAAAAATTTTATGGAGTAAATTTTCTTTCATTTTTTACGGTTGAAAAAACAAAAAGTTATTAAAACGACATTGAAAATGTTTATTACAAGATTTAAAAAATGTATAAATTAAATATAAAAAAAAAGGAAATAAAATCGAAAAACGAAAAATTTCTTGATAAAAATGTTTGTAAAAAGTTAATGTCCTTAGTGTATAGAATACAATAAAAACAAACTGTGATTAAAACTGAAGATCTAAAAAAATCGTTCTACCTTTTTAAACTTAAAAATTAAAATAAACTACACGTATAATTTGTACCAACACATGCTGAAATCGCCGATGAAAAAACCTCAGCAGAGTTAACAAAACACCGTTAATTAAAAATAATTAAACAAATAATTGTTGTTGATGATTAATAATTAAGAAAAACATATTTTAATTAACAAGTTCTCGTCAATTATTGTTGAACAAAGTGTCAAACATAAAACTCGGGATATTTTCTGAACGAACTTACGTTAAGTTATGACCCGCAAATTATTTTTAATGCAACTGTTAATATAATGATGCCTTCAAGATTTCTGGCTGTAACAGAGTGGGGATTGTGGATAATAAAATTTGAAAAATATATGTACGGTCAGCTTTATAACTTCAACTTTAAGTGGTGACTTGTAATGTTAGCAATTAATATGTAATGCAATAATAGCCTAACATCTAGCATATGGTCGATGCAGTTTTGTATAAAAAGAGCTGTCCGTGAATCATTTATTCGTATCCACCCGTTCCCCGCACTAACTCACTTCATCATATAGACCTCCTTGTCAGACAGAAGTTTTTTGCTGAAAAATTTGAAAAATAAGATAGCTCTAATCTGCAATGGCTATAGTTAATATTTTGTATTCATTTTATATTTCTTTTAGTCAAGATTAAACATTGAACAACTAAAAAGTTTAAGAAATAGAAATATTTGTATTCAATTAACCCTTCTTATCGACATTTCTGTCGGAAGAGTTTGGACGCGTAATAAGATGAGGAGTTTTAGACTCGAGCATGTGTATGTTAATTTACAATAATAAACACAACAAGACACCGATAGCGTTTTCCAATCAGCTTACTTTTAAATTAAACCTATCGTATATAGAACTGTTTAATTTTTAAGGAAATTGTAGCTATGGCACCACGATTTGTAATATGTGAAACTTTTTTAACACAAAATGCTCTTAAAGACAAGAAAAATAATCATCATATTTAATAGAACACAACATTAGAAATTAAATATTCTAAAGTGTTAATAACTTTTTTGACAATTTTTAAATAAATAAAATTTAATGGCTATATTTATTTATTTTTTTAGTGTCAATATTGTCACCATTTCAGCGTCACAAGCAGCATTAATAATTAAAAAATCTCAGCGTCTGTAGCATGAAACACTACTCAAAAAGCAAGGTCTTTGCCTCTTCTTCAGAGGAACATCTGCCTTCCTCTTCAAGATGATGGAATCAACAGCGTGTTCTTTATTGCTGTCTGCAAGCTTCCATTTAAAAATCAATTAATAAATTGATTAATTTTTTAATTAATAAACAGATTAGTTAAATTTAACTTATCATTTGAAATTTATATAATTTAATTGTTGTTGACTGTTATAAACTTCTTTTAAGAAATAGGTAAACTTTTATAATTAAGAACAAAAGCGTTGTTACAACAATAGCTGCTTTCAATAACATTTCAATAAAAAGCACATATTAACATTCTAACTACAATCTATGATTTGCATGCTGTCATTTTGGATTGAATTTAAGCTCTAAGTCATTCAAAAAAAATTTTAATACTAGACCATCCACTTTACAAATGAGTAGCGAGATGCGGATGAATTTGAACCAGGTACTAACGTCATCACCGTCATCGTCCTGAGCAGGTAGCGCCACCAGCAATTGTTGCACCAGGTGAATCAAAACCAACAGAATGAAAAACTTGGTGGCTGTTTATTGGGTAAAAATTTTCAAGTTTCTAAAAATAACTATGTAACTTGAAATATCATTGACAGTCTCTAGGATAGAAACAAAAACAACCCCGTCATTATCATAATATGTTTCTTGTTAATTGAAGTTTTTGAAAATGCCTTTGATATAACCTCAGCATTGTGCAAAATTTACGAAAATATTGTAAAATAAACGCCTAGTGACTGGTGTAAAATGCTAATAGTCGAGTTTTTAATTTGGTTGTTAATAAATATATAAACTTGTTTCTCAAAAATAAAACTGTTTATTTTAACATTTCAAATCAGTTGAGTTGCTTTGAGTCGACTAAAAATAATTTCGACTTTTATATTTTTATTATTTAATCTTGACAATCTAACAAAGATATAAACAAACATACCCACTCTAGATTAGAGCAGAGCAAACCTATTTTCAAATTTTCGGTTGGCTGTCTGACAATGAAGTCGATATGACAATGGGAGGTATTGCAGGGAGCAGATGATATGAATCGTGCCTGGTTAGCTTCCTTTATACAAAACTGCAGCCGTCATAACTTAATAATATATACATATATTAACGATATGTATATATATATATATATATGTGTGTGTGTGTGTGTGTGTGTGTGTGTGTGTGTGTGTGTGTGTGTGTGTGTGTGTGTGTGTGTGTGTGTGTGTGTGATAAAAATTATATAATTCATGTTTCCATATTATTTATTTTATTGAAATGGATGAGCGCATCCATGATACTCAAATATGCTTTCATTTTTTTTAAATGATGATATATCATGTCAGTGGCCTTTATAGCCCTTTTAAAAATCCATTTCTAAAAATCCCTCAAAATCAGGTAGACGTGTAAAGTTGAAGAGAGCTTCGTGTCCGCTTCGTAGAAAATCAAATCATGATAACATGATTTTGTTTAATTAATGATTTATAGCGTGCCGTTTTGAAAACAAATAACAAGTTCACCGACCGCTTCTGTATAACAACATGATTGACGGCAAATTTAATTACGTGCCATTGAGTTTAGTTGAGGCCAGACGTGGGCAAACTTTTTGCTGTGATGGCCGCATTGAAAACTATTTTATGTACATTTTTTTGACCGATGACCGAGAGGGAAATTTGTTTAGACGTTCATTTGTGGGTGAGAACATTTTTTTTTATCATAATATCTGGCTGACGACCTTAGGTCATTTCATTTTTTTCAAAATGCGTTTTAAAGGCCTCACTGGTCGTAGCTTGGCCATCACTGGTTTAGGTTAAAAATCTAATTCAACAAAAATAAATATGAATGGTTACCGAGCAAAGAAAATCAGCAAATCAACTGAATGAATGAACAACATTGTTTTCCTGTTGCTGTTACAATCACGTGAAATCCATTATAAAACAATTAAATACATGGTAATCCGGGTTCACAAAACTATAGAACTAAAGAACTCAAGATGTGCAAACTGATCAGAATTCATACATTTTTTAGTTGTTTTGTTTATTGTGTAACAAAGTTTTTTTTTATTTTGAAGTTTGTTTGCAGGTTTTTTTTTAATAGTTTTGCATCCAAACATTCAATCTTTCGAGTTTTTATGAAAACTTCAAAAGTTTTTCAACTTCCTCCCGCATATCACCATCTGATATTTGCACCTCTATATTCCCCATACATGTATTTATTTATTTTTATTTCCTTCAATAGAAATAAACTCCTAAAAATATAATAAGTATATAAAAGCTGCTGCAAACTTTATTAAAATTTTATTAATTTTGAATTTTAAAAACATTCAACGCTCACCAATGCACATTAAATAATTAATTGATTAACTAGCAAATGAATTCAACTATTCATAAGACCAATGAATGAATATCTTAATTAACACTAAATGTTGATCAACGTCCACTTCCATATCTCCAAGCCAAACGATCCAGGTTTTTCCTAAACAAACTTGCAATTAGTTCATTCGGTGACACACAATTTCATCATTTTTAATTTGCTATTACAAGTCATTCGATCCAACAAAACACACCAGTCACATACGGTGGCATATTATAATATAAATTGTTTTGGACTGGCTAGATTCTTAATACACACCAACCGTGCCAGGTTTTAAAAACGTTCGATGGGGAAATAAATTGTGATATTTGATGCAGAGTTAGTTATGCTGTTCTGTCTTCTGACTAATTGTGAACTTCAAACCTATCTTTTTAGTGTTTAATTAACAAAATTAGTAAAACGTCTATGGATCCAGGAATGTTGAGGTTTAGAACAACATCATTCCAAAGAGGTTTCTACAAAAGTTGAGCTTCATTTTGACAGCACTTCAACTTTTTTTAACTGTTTTTATCCGGGTAGTAATTTAGAATGATTTGAAATGAAACATTATCATCATCATTCGTGTATAAAAATTTCAATAGGGGTAGCAAGAATATTCAGCAACGCTAAATAAAAAAGGCAGCTGAACCAGGAGTAACAATTAGTTAAAATCATTATTAATAAGTTTTAATTTTTCATTAGTAGTTTTATTTAAAATAGTTTTAATTATTTTCAGTATATATCACTAATTAAAATTTATTTCTATTTAAAAACTGGAAACTTGAAATTATAATGATGAAACATTTTGTCGTTCACATTAACAGATGGATTTAAAAAAATTTTCAAATCTAAAAATTTTGAAAATTAAACTAATAGAAACGCCACTGCAAACATAACAGGTGTGTACGAACAAAACTAACTGTTATTTATTAAAATGAAATTTTACGGTTTAAAAAATAATGCCTATTGGTTTAAAAAAGATAAACTAACTATTTATTTTATTTATTTAATGACAGATATGCTGTACTGCCATATGTTCAAAGAGTAGCTTGTTAATTTAGACTGCATGACCCCCAGTTAACTTTATAATTTTGTTTGAAAAAAGGATTGTGTTAGATCAAACACTACGATTAATCGGTGCAAACGTAAAAATTATATATAATTAGTGACTTGTATAAAAAACTATCATAACATGTGTTAAAGATGTTTCATATAAAAGATGACAATGTGTGGATTGTTTCATCTGTTGTTTGCAGTTTGTTAGTCAGAAGCACATCCGTCGACTAGTCTGAACATCTGAAAACTTTCATTCAGGATGAGTATGTTTCATATTTTTTATATTTATCAAAAAAATTTTATGATTTAGTTAAAAGTTTTAAAATAATGGACTGTTAGAGTTGATTGCTACTTGTTTATTACTGCAAAAAATGAATTTTTAATTGAAAATATTGAATTTTATGAAATATGGTTAAGCGATAAATAACAAACAAGTTCAGTAAATCAATTTATCATTTCTGCTATAAAAAAGCGCTTTGATAAACTTTGCAAACAAATGTGTTTTTAAATCTGCAAGTGACGGAGGTGTAGTTGAAGCAGAAATAAGAGAGCCACGAGAGATAAAACAAGAAAAAAGTGTGAGAACAATTTGCATTGGGAATGGAAAAAGTGAGAAAGAGAGGACCACTTGGATTCACCCACTTAGATGTAGTTGAAATATCTGACCAGTACGTTGAAAATCAATTTGATTGAGATGTGCGTAACAGCGAGCAAATTTTTAAAATTATTCCATCTTTCATAATTAACCGGTATAAAAGGACAAGATGGAGAAATAAATGAGAAAAGTGGAGAAGGATCAGGAAGGCCATAGTAGTGAGAGTTACAATTCTCAATCCTATTTGGAACTTATGAAATAGCACAAAAAATTAAGACAATCTGGGAAGGGCATAAGTTTTTTTTATTCTACGCAGATGAAAATAAAAATTTTTAATTTAAAAATTAGTTCGATCGTAACAAAATCATTTAAAAAGAAGACAATCTAGACTCATTCATTCATAATGGAATAACAGACGTAAACTATTTCACTTTGCTTTGATGAATGTTATATCGTTTCATTTTCTCTGTGTGTGTGTGAGTGTGTGTATGTGTGTGTTTGTGTGTGTGTATGTGTGTGTGGTGTTTAGAACTTTAGAACTAAAAGACTAAATGCAATAAACGCTTAAAAGAAAATTTGATCGGTTTGTAGAAGCGACAACCGGATCATTCCCAACCTGATGTTCCCGAGGAAAGCAGCGTGACAAGTGGTGAAAAAAGGAACGAAAAGCAACAGGAAGATGTTATTTCCACGCTATAAATTGTTGGTGATGACAACTCAATAATGTTCGTTGCAACTGGCTGAAATAAATTAGAGCCGTAAATTTGTAATGAAAATTTCTAATGGAAATTTGTAATAAAAATTTTTATTGATGAAAAGTGTTGATGATGATGATGATTTGTTTGAAATTTTTATGAACATAGATGAAATTATCTAATTCCGCATTATGTTCTTTTAATCAAATGTATTTTCAAAAACTTTAAAAATTATTTAAAATTAAAAATTTATGAAGCTAAATTTTTTACAATTAGAATTACAGAATCATTTTTCTTGGGTTTTTTTTATTATTCTAATATTATCAAATGCATATTTACAATATAATAATATAACATAATATGTAATAATAAATAATATTAATGAGCGCGGCTTAACGAATTACATTTGCTCATGTCCATTCTACAATCATGAACCTGAATCAAAAACACCACCAACACTGTCACAAATTTCCCACTGAAACCTACATAATCAGACTCTACAGTTCAAACCTCGTTCGTGCAAAAAGACAGCTTCGATAAAAAAAGAAATAAAAATTGTTTCGTTGTTTTCGTTTGACCATCCGCAGCAACCTCATCTAGCACGAGAGTTTCTCGAAGTTAACCCACGAAGCTTAAAATATTATTTTTAACCAGAAAATTTTGCTTTCAGAATCACTTTATTATTACTAATTTAAATTGAACTATATTATTTTATATATTATTTTTAGAACAATAAAACAATAAAAATGTCATTACATCGATTTTACTTAATTGAATTGTTTTAGAGAAGCTGGGATAGTTTTCAGCTCAATCTTTAACCAATTAGTTTAGAGATTTCGTTCAATCATAGCTACGCTACGCTTCAGATGACTTATTTTATTCAGAAGTCTTTAATCAATAGTTGCAGTTGGAAACAAACTTTATGCAGGTGCAAGTAATTTGTGATTGAATCAAGCGTATAATAATTGAGATTCACAAAGCAATTGAACGAAGGAAGCCAAACGAGAGTGAAACATGTTGCTTCAACTTTGAGTCATTACTGGAGTAGGTTCAAACGACGATACAAACAACACGCCTCTAATAAATACATTTACTTTTATTAATTTTTATGATTTTCATCCTGCAGGGTGGTTTTACCAGTTCAAACATTCAATCAATCAAATTTTTATGCTGTTTTGAAGGGCAGCACGTCACGCAAGATTTTGAAGCTGCATTTTTTTCAACTTCATCCTCATTCAACGCATCGTCATCTTCCACTTGCACCTGTATTGTCTTTCTTATCTGGAGTACGTTGTTGTAACACTGTTATTAACACTTTGTTCATATTGACATTTTGTTATAAGTTAGTTTTTTTTAAACATGACAATATGTTCGGTTGAAATTATTAATCAATTAATAATAATAGTGATAATGATGATGACATTAAGAAAAAGTATGAAAGAAGCATGGCCAAAATGAAATAAGTTCATTGTTTTAAAATTTAATTTTCCAAGTTTATTTTATTTAATTTGATTCGAATAATTTTTTGAAGTTAATAAATCTTCAGTCTAAACAAATGTCTGATTACCTCTCTTAATGATATAATCCCAACCAGCCTACCTGCTTGCGTCACAAACGTGTGGTGTAAGTTGAGCAGGGAGAAGTATTTGTGCACCTGTTCAAATCATGGCAGATTATTTAAAAATATTGTTATCCTATACGTATAATCCAATTAATTCCATCGCGACGCTTGTTTTCCAATGTTATAGCAGCAGCAGTTGTTGCAACAGTCATAATGACTGTTGATATTGTAGAGTTGTCAGTAGCGAAAAGCATTAGCAGCAAGCACTTCCCCAGTCTTACCACTTTTGCGTACTAACATCATTAGCACAGTGGCTCGTACTGAATGATAAATGAGGACATTAATAGTAGTGCTACTTTTGAAGATGAAATCTTATAAGAATCCCACCACAAAGAGATAATTTTTCTCGGTAATTTGCAGCGTGATTGCCAATGTCAAGGTCACCATCCGCAGCACCGATATCGTTATCACCACCACCATTATCATCGTCGTTGTCATCATTATCATAAGTCGCAGCATTACCGTAATATTATTTATTTATTATATAAACAAATGCTATCCTAATCACACCACCATCATCATTATCATCATCATCATCAACAACAACAACAACATCATCCTATTAATCAAACGTCATCACTACATCATGACCTGGTGCACTGGGGTTTCCACGGAGATCTGGAAGGGGGCGGAGTCATAAGGGCAGTGGTTGAAGTCAATCATTTGTACCAGCTCGTAGTTACGCCACTCCAAATCCTGATGATAATGATGATGATGGTTATTATTATTATTATTATTATCATTGCTATCGTTATTTATAATCAAATCTGTTCCCCGCACTAACACTCATTAAAGCTTCATCTTCGCCACCAACACCATTCCTACCCCTCTTCTTAGTACCACCACCATCACCATCACCATGTTCATCACTAAGAAGAACATCATCATCACCATTTTTATTTTTCATCATCACGCGTTCCAGTTTCTTAGAATAGAATTCCACTTTGTTCTGGAGACAGAGTTGATCACGAACCACCTGCTTTAATATGGATCTCTCTATCGAGCCAAGTAGAACCATGCTAGCTGGGTAATGTTTTTGTGCATATGTCTGTTTCTATCTGTATGTATGTGTCTTATTTTGTATGTGTGTGTGTGTGTGCGTGTCTTATTTTGTGTGTTTAAATGTGTTTATGAGCACACGACCGTTATTATTTGTAATCATTTTGGTTCCGTACTTACATCGGTCGTTGACAATAGGGAAAGATTTGAACTGGTGGTACGTGAGTAATGTGGCAGCCTCACCGTAAGAACTACTTTCGGTTAGAACTTTCAAATCGCGTTGCATGATATCCTTGGCTGTTTTGATTCTGTGGTGAATTGGTTGGAGTTGAGTTGCTGCTTATTTCTCTCTAGATTATATATGAACGTGAACACAAACACATATACATACACATGCACATGTATGCAGGCACATACATACACACACACACACACATAGGTACTTGGAACTAGTTTGGATGTTGATTGGTAGGAAGGGCAGTCTCTTGATCTGCAGAATGATATCGTACACGGATGACGTGAGGTTCCTCGAGATGGCATTGGCGATCATCACTGCCAGCTAAGTACATTTTATATTCTACTCTTCATCAACAATCGGATTATTATTTATATTAATCAGCATTAGGAAAAAGTTAGCAACTTCATTAATTCTCTAATTCATCATTCATTCATACATACATGCATATATTCTTTCGTTCTTTTTTGTTCTTTATTACACAGCTCTGACAAATGCAGAACTGTTCACAAGTTACATGTCACTCAATACTTATAATTAAACGTTCTTACCACAAAGTCTGTACTATCGACACGACACAACCTACATCAACATTGTAGTATGCACGCAAAATGAAGAGTTTTGCTTTGTATTTCTTGTAATGTAATGTAATGTTTAATTTTAAAAGTTAGTTTTAATAAAAAAATTGTTTCATCTAACTGTGATAGTGTTAATAGTTTTATTAAATCCTTTAAATTTTTTATAAAATGTAGTTTATAATTTGTACGTACGTTCAGAATTGCTTTTTAAATTTTTTAAGTTCTGCTCATTTTGACAAGTCAAGAACTGCTTTCAACTCTTCATTATTAAACAAATATGACAGCTGAACTATGTGTCGGATTATATCGTTTATTATTATTTTTTTACAAAATTTTTCTATCAAGGATTATTACTTCATTCATACCGGACATTACAGCGTTAATAAAAAATTATTGACTTACTGGTAAATTTTTCTTATTAGTTTTTTTAATCTAAAAATAAATACTAAATTTGAAATTAAAATAGATATCAATGAATGGATTTATATAAAAAAGAACGTATAAATTTATTTTATAATTAGGTTGCTTGCAAAAAACTGAATTGTACAAAAAAAAATGCCAAAATTTGCATATAATCAAAAACTCATTAAAACGATCAGCACTTGAATAATCATGAAAACACAACTCACCAGAGACGGGAGGGCATGTCCCATCTGCCCCGTCAACTCCAGGGCTATGACCACAGGTGAGAACGTGTGAGTGACCGCACCTACAAACGCCACTGACCCCACCACAGCGTAACCCCCTGGTAAGATTTTGTTACCCCTGATGCCAGCTGGAAAGATGATCGCCATGATTTCACCAAACAATCGGCCGAGAGCTGAACCTGCACGGCGGTTTGTTGACCGGTTGGGGTTTATTTGTGGACGTGCTTTTACACGTGTGTTTGAGTGAGTGTGTGTTTTGTGTGTGTCTGTGTGCGTGTGTGCGTGTGTGTGTGTCTGTATTTGTGTGTGTCTGTCTGTGTGTGTGCGTGTGTGTTTGTTTGTTGAAATTTTGTTGTCATTTTAACGTTTAAAAACAGCCAACAACGTAACAACATCTCAACAACAACAACCAATCACGCAACCAGCAACTAAAAGGCTACCAACAACAGTCAATCATACAACCATCAACATGATGACTGCCAACGACAACTAATCACACAACAACCATCGTAACGACAGCCAATCTCACAACAACAACATGATGACAACCAATAGCAAAGGCGGGGAAAATGAGTCCACAAGGGAAGGGCACTGTGGTTGAAAGGGAACACATCCACAACTGTTAATGATCATTATTTAGTATTATTTATTATTACTATTATTATTATTATTTATTATTATTTATTATTATAATTATTATTATAATTATTTTTATTATCAATATATTCTATAATTGCCATCATCATTATTAACCCTCATGACGCAAAACAAAGCAGTGGCCATGAGCACGCCACCGGAGGAAGCCACCGACCAGTGCTGAAGCAGCCGCTGTTTGATGACGTCATAATCAAAATTACGATGTTGGTGGTGGCGGGGGCTGGTCCACGTAAAGTTGGAGTAGAGGTCGTTAAGGGCTTCTGTGTTGGTCAGCTGGATGGTTGTGTAATGGTTACACTGGTGGTGATAATGATGACTACTACAATGTTTATGATAATGATGATGGTGATGATGATGATGATGATGATGATGACGATGATCAGCTAACCTCCCCACCATAATACTGCCCTAGCCACGGAGGGTACTGGAATGTCCCCACCACCAGTGCCACCAACGCTGGGTAGATGAAACGACTAACAGGGTGTATTTTGTTATTATTTTTATTATTGTTGTTATTATTATTGTTGTTATTATTATTATTATCATCATCACCATCATTATTATGATTTCATTTTAATTATAACTATTTCTCCATTAATTAACTAATTAATTATTGATTTTACGCATTTGATGAAAAAAAAATAAAAGATCTGTTCCCATTACAACAACAACAACAAAAATATCGACAACAATAATATAACAAATAACAATAAATAAATAATATTACAATAATAGTAATAGTTTTTATTAAACATGAAATATTAACTAACAACGAAACTGTTGGTATAAATAACAAGAAATAAAAATAGCATAACGACGCGATGAAATTGGCAAATAATTACAAACTTGGACGTGAAGAACCGTTTGAGGATGGCGACATTCCGGACGGCCAGGACTACATACTTGTGCATCAGGATGAACAAGACACCGAGGAAACCAGCTATTAAGCTGTGTACAGTTAAACGGGATTCAAATACAAATGAAGAAATAGCTCGCTATTTAATGCTCAACTATGTCAATACAATTAGAAGCAACAACAATACACACAGTGAGAAAGAGAGAGAGAGAAAGAGAGAGAGAGAGAGAGAAAGAAAGAGAAAGAGAGACAGACAGACAGACAGACAGAGAGAAAAAAAGAGAGAAAGAAGGAGAACGCATGTGAATACGAGTGACTGCATGCAACACACATTACATGTGTTAGGTTAAGAGGTGGATCTTTTTGCATTTGAATCTAGTCACTTTAACAGCAAGACTAGGTTCTCTAACCATTACACTATTTTATCGTTCATGATATCATATTAATAATTATAATAGGATATAATTGAATAAAATAAACTGAACCCTAAAAATGAGAAAGCAATAAATTCGGAAGGGTCGAACAATCTGCCCTGGGGTAGGTGGGTCTCTCTCAGAGCCGCCATTCGTTCTGTGGTGATGGTGGTGATAGTGTGGTTGCTGGCGGTAATGATGATGATTTGAATGACGATGGCTAAATGATGATAGGGAAAAAATGGAAAAAGTGATGAGGAAGCTGATGAGAGATGAAGAATGTTCTGTAAATGGAATTGTACTTTAGAAAATATTCTGATTGATTGATTGATTGACTAAATGAATAAGATCAACAACACAATCGTTATTATTATTATCAACATCATCATCGTCATCATCATCAACAACAACAACATCCTCATCATCATCACCTCCTTCCTTGAACCAGCTGGCGACCAATCGGTACATGAGGCTTCCGACAGCTGAAGCGTAGAAACTTCTCCAATAGTTTCGTATGGCGAAGTTGACAGAGGTGCTTTCCAAACTATAGAGCAATGCTGTGTTGTTGCCACGTTGGAGTCACAATGGTGATGTTGTTGCGATGATGATGTGGTTGTTGTAATAATGGTAATCGTAGTGCTAATGGTGAATGTTCGCTTTGAAATTTGATGTAGCGTTATTGTCATCCTTCTTTACTCAAAAATTATTAATCATTTCTATTATACCAAACAAAGATGTTGTTTAAATTATTCATTTCTAACAATTTATACAGCGCTAAACTATTTTTTGGAACACACCCACCTCCAACTGGTGCAGCAAAAGTGCACGACAATCCAACAGCACTTCCGGGAAGAAGGATTTCTCCCAGGCGAGATTCGTGGTTCTTGGGTGCAGTTTAAAAAATAATATTCAATGCATTCTGTGTTGGATGAATGCGAATTCTTGTATTTTGTGTTTGACGGATGTGAATTCATGCATCTTGTGTTGGATGTAAATATGAAGTATTCAGAAACGTGAGCAAGATGGTTTTGGAGCTGTTGGCGCGCATATTGGCTTCCAGAAAGAGAAATATTATAGTGTTTATGAATATTTAAACAAAGGAATTTTCAGAATATAAAGGGAACGCTTTGTTGGGTAAGAAATTTTTGCTTGTAATTATGATGCAATTTGTCGATATATAATAAATTAGTCAGTTCTTCTAAAAATTTCAAAAAGATAAGAATGAAGTTATTACTTCGAGCGAGCTACTGAAAGCTGGCAAGAGTTTGGCGATGAGGGCTGCGCTGACAACACCAATGTGAACAAATGAACCCTGGTAAGAATTTGTAAATTATGTTCAAACAAGTTCCACATCATCATCATTGTTTTTTTAAATAAATATCTTTGTAAAATTAGCAAATATTTAACAGTTTACATAATTTCTAAAACAACTGAAACTGAATGAAATCAAAAACAAAAGTTAACTTTTTAAACTTTCTAGACATTTATTATATTTTTTGACACAAACTTCTTTGCCGATTGGCAGGCCTGAGCTGAGAGCAGTGGTCAGGCCGATCACTTTCGCTGCCAGCGTTCGAAGTCCCAGGTACTCTTTCATCACTACACCGCGTAGCATTGTTTTCACTTCGGGAATACCAGACCCTGATGATGATGAGGACGAAGAAGATGATGATGATAATGATAAAAATGGTGATGGTAAAGATGATGATGAAAATGATAATGGTGAAGATGATGAAGATGATGATGATGATGGTGAAGATGATGATGATGATGGTGAAGATGATGAAGAAAATGATAATAAGGAAAATGATGAAGATGATGATTGTGAAGATGATGATAAGGATGATGATGGTGAAGATGATGATTGAGATGATGAGGACGAGAAGGATGATGAAGAAGATGATAATAATAATGATATTCAATTACAAACACATCGTAGAAAATATTTGTGAAAATGATCAACATCGATCGATGAAAAAGATGATGATTAAGATGACGAATGAGATTACTAGATAGAGTCATCTTGGCGGTAACGATGAAAAAATGTCATAACGACAATGAAATGATTATGTTGATGATAAAGATACACCTGATGATTAAGATAAGATGACTCGTAAAAAACAACTAAATATCAGTCAGTCAGACATTAACACTACGGCCACAAAACGACAAAAATGTAAAAAGACGTTTGGCAATGTAATTTGTGATAAATTATGTTTGACAAAGTAAGTTTTTTAGCAACCTATAGCGGTTGGAGCAATGAGATGTGTTGATCCAACGGAGAAACACGTGAAGACAGTGAAAAATAAAACCCATGATATGTACTGACCTGAATTTTAATATTTCATTTATTTACAGAATATCTACAATAATCTACAATATTGTCAGAATGTTATATAGTCACATTCACAATTAAAAGAGAATGCAGTTGTTACAAGTACAACATTTTTTTAAATTTAACAGCGGCATTAGTCGCGTAATTATTTTATAATGATTATTTTAAATAAAAGTTCTGTAATTTAAATAGATAACCGATCATTGTGTGGTCTAACGAGCTCAGCAGAGAAATCTGGGCTGAAAAAAGATTTTCACAGAAATTATTTTTGGGGTAAAGGGTAAGCATTATATATATATATCCATGGGTTAGAATTTTAATTTAAGTGTACCTGCGTTGTGGAAAAAATTTTTGATAAAATGTAGTGAAGAGTTGGAAGAAAGTCAATAAATGATGCAACACTGAACCTTGGCGGCACCGGCCAACGACGATATCAATCAAAAAACTTATGACGGCCACGCTGATTCCGAGTAACGTGAGAAATATCGAGTCGTTGACCTTTCGACCCAGTTCAGTGTAACTGAAACTTATCCATCGTCCTGGAATGTATTTTATTTTTGACGAATAAACAATTACAATACTTTTATACATTCCGTTAGCTGCTGATAGTACAATATTGTTTATAGATCGAGACAAAATAATACATTTCACAAGCGTTGACTTAAAATGAATTTTTAATTAACTAATTTACAACTGATAGGCCCCTACAGAATCATTAACTCTTTTAGAAAGCAGAAATGTTTAAAACTATTAAACAAACTGTTTATGGCTTTTATTCTCTGAAGGAGTTTGGATTCTCTGGATGCCTGAGTGACCACACGTTTCAGCTGGTCTCTCTTCCGCTTCTCCTCTTTTGCTCTCCTCGATTCTTCCTGGGCGAATTTGCTCAGAGGAGCGTAGCTGTGTTGTCCGTACAGCTGAAAGTTTGTTTGTCGATGTGTTCATTTGTATACAGTAGTGTGTGTGTGTGTGTACATGCGTGTGTGTAGGTACCTGTGTGTGTATGTGCGTGTGTACGTAAGTACGTGTGCATATTATTCAAAGTCCACGCACACACATGTCGCAGTTTGTATTCGTCTCCTATTTGCAAATACTGCTAAAATATCAAGTATTTGAAATAAAATCACATTCATTAAGTTGGCTTGAATAAGAAAAACAATTGAATTTAATGTTGAATTGGCATGTTATTCAGCCTTAACTTGAAAGCAAGTCTCGAAACTCAATGTAAATAAAAAGAATTAACATTAAGACAGACTTGTATAATGTTGAAGTCACGTCGATATTCGTAATGAAATAAACAAAAGTTATTCTCTCACCAATGTTTCTTGATATCGAAGTTCTCTGGGTCTGGTGAAACTCTTGGGATCACTAAGTCCAAACATTTGATCGGAACTTAAATTCATAATGTGATGAGACAATCAAAATGTACGTTGTAAAATAGTTATAAACTTTAATGGAATAATTGTTATATTTTATTTGCAAACTTTGAGAAAATTTTTAGCATAACGCTTACAGTTTGATAGAATGATTAGTAGAACTATATATATATAAATATAAATATATATATACACATTTAATATATGGCATGAAATGATTTCAATTGGTGATCGACACACTTTTAAACAAAACAAGCACATACATACGCACGCACACACATGTAGTAATGAACGAATTAATATATAAACGAGAAAGGACCTAGTAAAAACCGGATCACCTGAGCTATCGTGATCTATCTTGCGATTCAAATCATTAATTGCTTGTTAGGTCGACTTTTTGTGTTCGTTTTCAATGAAATTTCATCAAAATTTAAACGTTTGACTAGTTTCAACTTTTTGATCAAAAAAAAACATTAAACGAATAAAGAACTCTGACAATTTTTTTTTATTTCATTGTAGGTAATTTCATTTCAAATAAAAAAAATAATCATGCGACGAGAGAATTTACGTTGAACAAACAAAAAGATGATGCAAATATCACATAAAAAAATATTATTGAGTGACGCTACAATACCTTATTGAAATATTTCGTTTGGTGCCAAATTTGAGATGGATAAATAAACTAGACTGAAATGTTAAAAAAATATATACATGAGGCCATATTTGCATTTAAATAACTGTTAACATTGTTCATCAATAAAAAAAACAACGGTTAAAAATAAGTTAAAACTGTTCAACGAATATTAAAAACAAACTGAAGAATTTCCTACAGACCAAAACAGTAAGTTAAATACGTGGGCCAATGAAGAAACGCCTTCAAGGTTGTAGAGGGTGCCTCATTTCCAACTGTAGGTTTAACATGAAGGACAAGATTCGTGAAAAATTTAAATTAAAATAAAAATTGATTTGAGGTTATTATTATAGAGTGAAATAAATTGAAATGAAAAGCAACTTACATTCCATTTCAAAGTGTCATCAGCACTGGCCACCAGCAAACACTTGATGTGTGTAAGGATGGCGACAACTTGTTCATACTGGACAGGTTGACTTTCAGTAGCCGACCACAGCAGAATCAACCTGCTTATGCCATCTTTTTTCTCGTGGCTGAACGAATCCAGAGGCAACTTCTCGCAGTAGATCCGTTTTGTTGTGGCGAGTTTGAAGATGTACACGTCAAACGATCGATCGAGGACGTTACAAACCATTCCATCTTCCTCAAGAGGACCACATTCCTTAACGAAAATAGCAAAAAACAATTCTATGCTCTTATCATTCGCTGTTTTTGAATTAGATTTTTTCTGATTTGAGTGAACGCACTGCCTTTGCAGATCTATCGAACTGTCCAAAACCTTGCAATCTGTGACGTCATAGCCGAGAGATCTAGCTAACAATCTATGCACTAAAACATCTGGATATCGTCGAATAGGTGAGGTAAAGTGAGTATACAGAGGCACATTGAGCGCGTAATGCCTCCACAACTCGTGATCTAAAATCTCGCCAGAACAAAAGTACAATGCCTGCTGCATAGATTTAAGGCAAAGAGAGACGATAATTTGAGCTTTTGCTGCAGAACCATCCGTTCCGTCCTCAGTTATGGCATTTAAGGATTGCTGCAGTGCTCCAGCACTGGACGCATCCAAGTTCAAGTTCAGTGATTTGCAAGTCGTCAGAAAATCTTTTAAAGCTTTTGCACTTGGCAGAGGATGCCTTCGAAGGACAGCCGTTTGAGGATTGTGCTGTAAGATTTTGTGAGCAACTGCCATATTTGCCAATAACATGAATTCCTCGATCAAACTGTGACTCTCAAGATGTTCGTATATTGCAAAACCCCTAGGCATGCTACTTTCTTTATCGAGAGAGAACGTCAGTTTGATCTGATCCAATCGCAGAGTTCCACTCTTCACCCGTTTCTCTTTTAAACATTTTGATATTTGGTAGAGTTGTAAAACTTTGGAAACGACATCAGGAATAGTGAAACCATTTGCAATTTCTGGCAGTTCATTTTCGTTCCAAATCTTTTTCGGATTGTCAATGAAACCTTGAGCGTGACTGTAAGACAATTTAACGCAGGAACGTATAACAGTTCGTCCAAACCATTCATCTAAAATTTCACCCTCATCAGTCAGCCTCCAAACAACTGAAAATGTTAACTTATTGACTCCAGGGTTCAAACTGCACAACTGTTCACAAAGCAAACGAGGTAGCATAGGAATGACTCTTTGAACCATGTACACACTCGTCGACCTACTGGCAGCACATTGGTCTAACTTTGTGTTTGGCTTCACAAAGTAACTTACATCTGCAATGTGCACTCCTACTTCATAAAGTCCATTGCCAAGATGCTCACAGGACAGAGCATCATCCAGGTCTCTAGCACTTTCAGGATCAATAGTGAAAACACAACTACGTCTAAAATCCCGTCTGTTCTTTAATTCTTCTTCTGGTATTTTCCAGGGTAAGTCAGCTGGCAAACAAGACAAAACCTCTTCAGAAAAATCGCTAAAGTCTATATTATTTTCAAACAAGATAGCTTGGGTTTCTGGTTCTATTTCCCCATAGTTACCAACATTCCTAATTATTTCACCTATTGGCATAGTCTTGTTCTCGTACCAGTTGACAATTCTTCCAATAAACATTACATTTTTGAAATCATCTGGCCTGTTGAAAAAATTTTCGGGACACGACTTTGCAGGTATTAATATTCTAGGTATCTTATAATCTCTGGGTGAAAATAGCGCCATAGTTTTGTTTTTGTCTGAAATAAGTTTCAAAGTACCAGCTCCACACCTGTTGTGCACTCTCTCAGCAATGCCAACCACTTTCCCAGTTCTGATGACGTTGTCAGGTGGAAACAAATCCAACAATGGATGGAAGGAGGTGACATCCATGTTCTTATTTCTACTGGACATCTCATGAATGTAATCTTTCAAGGAATTGCTTAACTGGGTATTTTTGTCTTTGTTCAATATTTCTTCAATTGTTATGAATCTAAACAAAAAAAAAAAAACAATTCAAAATCATATAAATAAGAATAGAAATTTGAAATACACAAAACTGTAAAGAAAGAATGAAAAATAATTTGCAATAAACAAAAACACAAAACAAACCTATTTGTGTTTGGTTTAGCAGACTGATTTTCATTTTTAAGATCAATTTCAAAGAGGGAAGAAAAGGGATATTCGGCTGAAGATGATGGGCATTCATCGGGCTTCGAAGTGGACTGGGATGAACTTGAGCTGTTGTTTGTATCAATTGAAGGATTTTTGACATCTTTCCTCATTTTATCAGTTTTAGAGCCATCATTTTTTGTTTTTAGTTTTTTATTAGATATTCCAGCTTTATCAAGGCAGCCATTGACTGCAGATGTCACAATCTCCAGGTTTTTCAACTCTTCTAACAATTCCTCTTCTTTGAGTAGGACCAAATCAAGAGGAATCTGAGTTATTTGCAATTCTATTAATTTCAATACAAAACATTTAACTATAAAATTAAAATAAAAAAATAATTTGAAAAACCTTCCATTCACATTTGGGAAGTATCTTAACATAAACGATGTCTCCATTTAGCGATCGATTCCTCATCTTTAAACCATAAATGAATATATCTGCTCTGCCATCCTTTATGAAAATTAAACCAGTAACAGAATTAATAATCAGAATATAGTAAATTCCATCGTAATACAATTATTTATTGCATTTAAAAAAAACAGCTACAGGGTTTGATAACTTAATAACTAAATATATGAATAATGAAATTAAATAATAAAAATTAAGTTGATTAATTGAAATAAATAATAATAATGAATTGATAAAATTACAGGGTGAGATATGTAAGCTTCTTCGTAATTTTTCTGATTTATTCTCAGGACATCCTATGTAAACAAACATCAAATCATTTTTCAAGAAAACTTTCTTTCAGATTTCTAACATTACTTTGATGAATGATGTGATTAAATTAAAATGATTGAATAACTGTAATTAACATTAAATTGAATTTAAAAAAAAATATTTTCAACATTCAATAACAACATTACACAAATAATTTCTCCACTTTCTAGGCTATTTTTCAGTTGATTTTCTGGCCAATATTTTTCAAAATTTCCTTGGCTCTAAATAAAAGATGAGTTAGAAATTAATTTAATTCAATCAAAAAGTTAACAATCTAGCTATTAATATAAACTTTATAAATTGAATTAAATTTTGATTTTAAATCACATAAAAAATGTGACCGGACTAGAATTACAATTAATATTAAACTAAAGTCGCTAATAAAGCTGTTGTTAAAATAAATTAAATTAAATAAAACAAAGGTTATTTATATTATTATTAATCATTTAGTTTTTAATAAAAATGTTATCATGCCATGGTTAACAAATGAGATGAATGATTATAAATTTTAATTATAAATTAGATCCTTCTTAACTTAATTTTATAAATTTATAAAATAAATTAAAAATGCTACCCAACCATCAACATACATATACAACTTTTAAAATTAAAATTTGAGTTAATAAAAAAAAATTAACCATGTTTATTGGTGATTATTAATCCCTTTTTGGGGATGTTTTTCAAATGTAAACAATTGACAAACAAACCAAACCAGCTGAAATGGAATTAAATTGGAAAAAGTAATTACAAAAATCTTTAAAATTGAATGAACATGGAAGATAAAGCCACATATACAACCACAGACAAAGACACGGTCCCGGGCTAAACTGATTTTAAATAAATCCACAAACAACAAACACCCGAACTAACAGGAGCGCTTGAAAATGATTTGATTTTATTTATTTCAAATTTTAATTTTTTTTATTGCGAATTACAGTTGCAACACTTCATATTTACAGAAAAACGCATCCACACTTCATTGCAGACAACGATTTTTAACTATGGAAAAACGCAACACAAAACTATGCTAACTGCTTTTTGTAGAGTAATAAAAAAATGATACACTGGAAACAATTTTTAAATTAATCACCCCACCACAAAATTTTTGACCTACATCTGAACAGGAATACACTACCTACTGCAAACATATTTTACTTAAATGTTACATAATGAAAATAATCAGTCATTGGGTGATCCAGTACTAGTTAACTGATTGACTAACTGGCTGGCTGGCTGGCTGGCTGACTGACTGACTGACTGACTGACTGACTGACTGACTGACTGACTGACTGACTGACTGACTGACTGACTGACTGACTGACTGACTGACTGACTGACTGACTGACTGACTGACTGACTGACTGACTGACTGACTGACTGACTGACGACTGACTGACTGACTGACTGACTGACTGACTGACTGACTGACTGACTGACTGACTGACTGACTGACTGACTGACTGACTGACTGACTGACTGACTGACTGACTGACTGACTGACTGACTGACTGACTGACTGACTAATCGATTGATCGACAGTACTTTGAAAAGGAATTAATCTAAAAAAACAAACGGCACCATATCAAGACAGCAGAGCAGTCAATCAGTCAGTAATTATTTGGTTATTCTGAGCTTTAAACAATCTAAAGACTTATTTCAACGCTTGTAGCCCTAACTTCTTTGATTCTGAGATCTCATGGAGCACAGGCTAAGTATCAGTTCTGAAGTAGCATCGTTACAAACATTATAGAAATTTTTGCATGGTTATTCTAAACGTATTCCTTTGACACATAAAAAAAAGTTCAGATTGATAAAAAGTTGTTACACAAAACATTATGGAAACCAAAATGAAATTAAATGGTCACGCATTTTTCTTGCAGTCATAGTTTTCACATGTCGTAGCCACATTTTGTAAACATTCCACTAAGTTTTTATATGTAAAATATTTAAAAAAAAATATTTTCCCACAGACAGCAACAATAAAATGGTAACGCTACGTTAAACCAGAAATGATTTTATAACCGAAAACATGTCGATGAGTCATCATGAAAAATCGACTTACGCAAATTGAGCAGAAAGTGTGTGTGTGTGTGTGTGTGTGTGTGTGTGTGTGTGTGTGTGAGAGAGAGAGAGAGAGAGAGAGAGAGAGAGAGAGAGAGATAGAGAGAGTAAATAGAGAGACCAAAAGTAATATGAGCCCAATGAAAAAAGAGGACGAGATCGAGATAAATGTGAAAAATGTAAAAAAAAAATTAGTTCAACGCAATCCGATAGTCGAATAGAACAATAAAAAGGATGTGCTACAGAGAATAGGATGACGATGATGTTTAAAGTATGCAGATTCGATGCGGAGAATGGGCGAGAAAGGAAGGTCGTAATCATTCCAGAAGAATCCATACGACGACTTATTTTTAAAAAATACGCACATGATATACGTACGGATATATGCGTACATCGAAAACGTATAACATAATATATATATATTTATTTTTATATGTGTGTGTGTATATATGTATAACCTACGCAGACTACATTGAATATGAACCTTTATATTAAAATCTATGTTCACGTGAGTCCATCTGACAAATGCGGTATAGGAAACCGTATTTTATCGACGATAGACAACAGAGATCGTTTGGTATTGGCTTATAAATAGAGTAAATGTGTGTAATGAAAATAAGTTAAGTGAAGAATAAAAAAATATTTATCTGCATGAATAATTCATCAACATTATTATCATAATTTATTTATTGCAGTTGTTTTTATAACCATTACAATTTATTATTCTAATACAATAAATTAACTGCTTGGATAATCTTGTTTATCAAGAAGTTTGAAGAAGGCATACACTTATATATTAGTAACAAACGGTACGTTACAATTGTTAAATAACGCAACAAATGCATTCTTACAAAATATATTTTAACTTGTATTTAAATGTATATTTAGCAAACATAGAAATAATATTAAACTAAATATTATTCACAAATATAATCCTGGTAATAAACTGTTAAAAGAAAAATTTACTTGGATATCTGATGTGAAATTTTGTGTGTTGTGTTGTACGTGAAATGAAACTTTTATTGCCATCTTCATTGATAGCTTCTTATCTATTTCTTATCTAATTAGCCCATTTGTCAAACCTGCGTTCGATTACAACTGCGCATATAACATATAACTAAATGTTGATATGATAAATATATATATATATATATATATATATATGTGTGTGTATATATATATACATATATATATATATATATATATATATATATTGAGATAAAATTTGAGATAGGAAAAGAAATTTTGAAAGTATTTAAAATCCAAAACTTGTCTAAAAAATTTTTCATAAAAATTTAGAATAATTTTTTAACAAAATTTTGAAATATTTTTAAAAACGTTTCTTTACGTATTTTTCTTAAGATTTAGAACATCATCTAGCCTCATTGGAGTTGCTAAGAGTAAGATTTTTTTTCTAAAAACAGCAACGCATATTACGCATATTTTAGCTGTTCTTTTTTTTTATTAATTCTTTTATTATTTTTAAATTTAAACGTATGCGGCATGATTATGCTTCTGTATTATTATTATTATTATTTTATTATCATTATTATTTTATTATTATTATTACTGTTATTACTATTATTATTACAATTACAGTCCTACATCACAATGCAGTTTTTCGTTTTTTATGCCGTAGAATCAGCAGCAGCAGCAGCAGTAGTAAAAGTAGTAGCAGCAGCAGTAGCAGTAGTAGTAGCCGCAGTGGTCATAGTAGTATTAACAGTAGTAACAAGTGGTCTCGAGAACGGCAGTAAAAAAATCGCTGTAATGTAAACAGAGGAGAAGAGTTTGTTGCATCTCTCAATATTGTTGCCGATGTGTTGGATGCATTTTTTGCCCGTGTCTGTGTTATGATGTCATGTACGTGAGTGATGTGTGCGTGACGATGAGGCCTGAATAGTGTAATTCGTAATGTAAGAATGTGTTGTTGTAGAACATTAATTAATTTACACATGCAACAAGATAATGGGTATTGGTGAAGTGATTGAATGGATAAATAATAAACATGGGTGGTTTGTTAATGAATAATGAAGTGAACAACTAAATAATACAAATTTGTGTAAAAAAAACTACCGAATAAAATAGTTGGAAATTACCCATAAAATTATCAAACAAATAAATAAGGTTAACTATATATCTGTAACTTAAAAATTCATTTAATTGTTCAATGAAAACATATTTTACAAATTAAAAGCACTTTAGAGAACTTATCTAAACTCACTTTGTAAATCTTACAGTATATATAATAAATATATATATGCACTTATGGGTTGTTTTTACTTTAGAGTTCATATGTAATACCTACTTACATATATCTATTAAGTACATTACATATGTGTGTGTAGATGATATAATGTATTGTGTGTATTTAATATAATGTATTATTTATGAGGGACGGTTGTAAAAATGTTGTGAGACGAGATTATCATCGCTAGCAGAGCAGCCGCGAGTTGACTGCTATTAATGCGGATATTCAGCTCATCACCTACACGTACATAATAATAATAATTATTATTATTTATTTATCTGCTGATTTTTATACTGTTTTGATATTATTATGTTATTATAACGTAGAATCGGCGCATTATTATTATGTTATTGTGCCATCTCCATCGCTTCATGACGTCACGACTTTGGGGAATTACAATGTAAATTACTTCTCAGAGTTTTATTATCTTTATTTTGAAAGATGAGAGAAAGAGAGAGAGAGAAAAAAAAGAAAGAAAGAAGAGGCAAAAGAGGAAGAGAGAGAGAAGAAGCAAAGAGAGCGTGCGAAATATATTTTAATTAAAGTTGAAATGACTGAAATATCGGGTGTACTCAAAAATGCATTCTCGTGTATATCGATATGTGGTGAATAATGTAATGTGTACAGTGTGTTTTGGTGAAACAATTTTGACAAAACATTCATGCCTGCATATTTGTAAATGTAAGACGGTGAATCTTTTTATTCATATGTTTGCCTTGTCTGCTCATACTCTTCTTGAAGCAATTTTTTATAATAATTTTAGTCAGACACTCAGTTATGACACTGTTGAAATGACCAACTTTTGGGATATAAATATATTATGAATTTTTACCTTTTAGACTTCTGTTTACTCTATTAATAAACCAAAAGCAAAACTTATTTGTAAACATATTCAATCATTTAACCATAAAACTAAACTATTTATCAAAATATCAACAGGTAGGTACATAACTATGGCGACATCACCGGCCAACGGAAGAGTAGTGGTCATAGCGGTAGACGCCAGCGACAATGCCATGTCTGCATTCAAATGTTTGTCCAGTCACAGTTTATTTTAAATTCTATTTTTGTATTTTTTTTAATTTTTTTCACAAAATCTGCACACACTCGCACAAACTCATGCACTCACACGTAACATTGAGCAAAAAGTTACACGAACGGGCACACTTCATCTCGAGATATTTCTGTCTGAACCACCATGCACATTTACAAATTCTAGATCATAACGCGTTTTCATCGTGTTGAGTTATAACGCTTCAAAAAAGCAGCACGTTGTTTGGTTAAACTTGACAAAATGACGCTGTAACAACTTGCATGATGAATCTTTAAAGTTTGAAACGTGTGTGCTTATGAGATTTGCTCTACATTATACGAATTAATACACCTGTATATATATATATATATATATATATATATTATTTGATAAAATCTTTTCTCTCTCTCTTTCTCTCTCTCTCTCTTTCTCTCTCTCTTTCTCTCTCTCTCTCTCTATATATATATATATATAAATATATATATATATATATATATGTATGTATATAACTACTTAGGTCTTAGGTACGTAGATGCATGAGTCGTTGAGATAGGAAGGCGGCTGTGTGTGAAGAACAGCTTACTTACTAGTTACTAGTTGCTGACGTTGAACAAAACACATGTCTGAATGAATGCTCGCTTCATCATTTATTGAAAGAATTCAATATTGTTCGCACTATACATTGAGGTGATACGTTGGCGTGAAACAAACGCTCATTCGTTATTGGGATGCACGCACACACACACACACACCACACAGACACGCGCACTCACACATAATGCACGCACGCACACGCACACACTATACATACATATATTACAGATTCTTGTATACATCAACATTTGTTTTTGTAAAAATCAACATTTATACAAGCGGTTAATTTTTAGAAAAATAACTCAAGCTGACTAAAACATGAGATGTGCCTATATAAAATAGATTTTACAAACAGTAACAACAATGTTTAAGCCGACAATTGAATAAACATATACAAACACATACAAACGCATACAAACAATACAGGCATGCATGTATGTATGCATGCATGCATGCATATTGGCTTGTAGGCTCATTGAATTTCTGTACTCGAGGCTAAACAATGTCGTTGCGTGTTTGTGTGCGTGAGTGTGTGTGTGTGTTTGTGTGTGTGTGTGTGTGTGTGTGCGTGCGCGCACCAATTCGTTAATTAGAGTACAATTTGATAAGCTCCTACTGAAGTGAATAATTTTTGTTACACAAATTATATATAAGAGATTACCTATATATATATATAATATATATTTATAAATAAATATATATAATATATATATATATATATATATAAATAATAAATAAATACAAAATATATATAATATATATATAAAAGCCAATAAAATTTTTATTCAAAAATATATTAAAAATTTTATTCAAAAGAAATTAAATATAATTATTTTTTTACTTTTGTTGTTTTTTTTTTATGTTGCCCAATGATGTGAAAAGAGACCCGCTGCATCGAGACAGCAACCAACATTTCAACAAGCATCTTTATAATCATAGTACTAATCATACAAATATTAATAATCATCATCATCGTGCATATGATTGTCATCATCATCGTCATCATCGTCAAATTGTCCTGATAGCGTCGATGGTTTTTTGATCTGGCCTACGTCAGTGCAGTCTGTTAGGGAATGACGTCATTCGGACGGTGTCGTCATCATCGTCATCGGCGTTGCCACCAGTGCATATCATCGTTATCATTGTGTTTAGTCACTAGTGACTGCATACTCATGCATTCATTCATTGCGGCGACAATTATTAACTCATTCATTCGTCATTATTTCAAATTTTACCCAGTGCTATGTTGAACAACAAATCTTTTATCTACTTCATTTTTTTTTACAGCCGTACAACAAAAATCATCCATCTATACCACAATCAATTTAATCATCAGTATCATCATTATCACTAATGTAATCGTCATTTCCATTCGAAATATCATAATCACCATCCTTATCATCACAACCATCACCATCTTCATCATCTTAATCGTCGTTCCACTCCCTAGTGACACATTTTTGTATTTGATTGATTGATTTTTCTGCAACGCACCAAGCAAACGTACTCAGCCACCAATTCTGTCAACACATTAACAAATTACTTCTCCCAGTCTCAACCAATCCTATGATCTTGCTGCTAGTTCCGCATATTTATATTTTTTTCTGTTGTATATTTTTCAACGTATCTTTCTCTCTCTCTCTCTCTCTCTCTCTCTCTCTCTCCCTCCTTCTGCTTCTTTTTCTCTCTCTCTTTTTTTCCTGTATATAATTCTTTGTAATTCATTATTTTTCTTTGTTCATGTCTCTATTTCTCGAGTGTTTTGTGTCTTCCTTAATCTCGCCAGTTGTTAGACAAAAAAACATTTTGCTTTCACGACGCATTTGAAAATGACGATGATGACCAAATGTGATAAAGATGATGAAAATAAAATCAAAATGGTGATAACAGTGATATTGATGATGATGATGATGATGCGGTAATAATGATGATGATAATGATGATGATGATGCAACAAACAAAATTTGCGCCATCCTTAAATTCTTGGAAAAGTCTCAATGATAGAGGCTTAACGACTCCAAATAACAAAGGCTATGAAGGTGAGGATGAAGAAAAAGATGGTGGTGTTGATTATGATGATGACGATGATAATAATGGTGACAATTATGATGGTAAAGAAGATGCTAATGATGGTGACAATTATGATGGTAAAGAAGATGCTAATGATGGTAATGATGATGATGAGGAAAATGATTATGATGATGACGATGATGATGGTGACAATTATGATGACGACGACGACGATGTTGTGGATCTCATCGGTAGGGATTATGATTTCAATCTTACATAACGGCATTGATTTAAATTTTGGTAGAAGCTAAGAAATAATTCTCGATGAAAATAATTAGAAAACTAAATAAGTTGATTATGAAGCCGATGTTATCAAAATGATGTCCTTGATGACGAAAGCAATTACTGGAATATTAATAACCATGGTGATGAGAAAAAAAGTCCATAGGATAATGTTGTAATGTATAATATAGTGTAGTTTTATAATTTGTATTTATATATTAGCATTTATATAGCGCTGTCTTTAATTGCTTTTCATTAGAAATGTAATGTTAAGACTGCCTCGCGATTCGTCCGTTGATTTGAAAGGTACCAATTAGAATACAATTGTTCAAACTAACGAAGTCACTTGTTGGAAATTTGCTGGCGTTTATGCTATAATAAAACTTTGCATAATATTTTAGCACTATATTATTATTGTTGTAGTCGATGGCAGTTTTATTATTCTTTGTATCAAAAGGTTAAAGGTCATACTCTCTTGTGTATTTGCTTCAAAGATATCAACGAAAAATACACACAGGATAACTTTGCATTCGAACTCGGTTTCAGCAACGGCAAGACCAGGCAACTGTAACAGTTACGCCACCAATTTATATTTATACTGCTGATTTATGATTAATTGCGACGAGACAGACGACAGGCTAGGCAATGAAAGGGATGGGCGGGAGCGTGCATTGCCTTCGCTGCTTCATTTCATGACGTCACTTTCGTACTGCAAACTTTATAAGGTTGTTGGGGATGTCGTGATTCAAGTTAAAAAAGTGTCGAATGATTTTTTGAAAGGTAATTTGCCTATAGTAATAATAGAATAAAACAAGAACCAATCCTAAAATTAATACTGACAAACATTTAGACCTGAAATGAACAACGTGTAATGTATTTTATTTTCCTGGAAAATTATTCATTTCGAGATTGAAAGGTTCAGACTTAGACAACGTTTCAATAAATACTAATAAATCGTCATCCATGATGATTAATTAATTATGATTCATTTTGATGCCCGACACGAATGTGAACTTTGTATAAGCACGATAATAAATACCTACGCTGTATACTTTTGTATGCATACATTGTGTAATACATTTTCTGTATGTGTGCATGAATAGTACTGTATAAATTAATTATTTGTATGTATGTATGTATGTTTGTATAGTCATAATTCATTCATTATATTTATCTTCATGTCTGCATCATTTATGATGCATTCATTGCAATATTTTTGCTACAAAGAGCGTTCATCATACGTGCAGTGCATATACCTACCTATGTACCTACCTACCAACATACACACTTATGTACATACAAACATACATACATACACACACACACATACATACATACATACATACATACGTGCATACATACATATATACATACTAAGTGTTTTGCATTTCAATCGATATCCATTTCTACCTGTCCCCTCTTGAAAAATATTATTAATAGCTACAGCAACAATCCATCGTTAACATTGAGATACCTGATTTATCAAAGTTATCGAAATGAAATAATGAACCGTGGAATTTTTCACTGGAATAAAATTGTTGAGCTTTAATTGAAAAGATATCCAGATTAGAAGGTAAGTTGTTTCTGGATTTATAACAACCTAAACAACAGCAGCAGCAACAACAACAAAAATCGTGCAACACAAAAACAATAAAATGAAATAAAGGGTTTAAAAATCACATCAAAAGTTATATACAACAACGACAACACCAACAACATCAACAAAAAGCCATAGAAACAACAACATCGTTTTTAATAATCATCTCGCCAAAACATAAATAAAAATCAACGAGCTCGTAACTAATGGGGTTTCTGCCAACAGAAATCTGCCAATGCATGTATGTATTGCGTGTTGTGTGTGTGTATGTGTGTGGTGTATGTGTGGAGTGTGTGTATGTGTTTGTGTGTGTATGTGTTTGTGTGTATGTGTGTGTATGAGTGTGTGTGTCACGTAAAAAAACAATGCAGCGTAAGTTTGTGTAGTACGAAGATTTGCATTTATATTGCATGGAGGATGCAATAATAGTCTTCAAACAGCATGTGCAATGTCTGTAGTTAAGGGACAAAGTCATGCAGTTTTAACGATTATTAAGTTTCCTAATGGTCAAATTAAATAAAATTGATAAAATTTTACAGGTAGCTAAAATGCTGTAATTTGCGAAAATGAAAACATTTAGACATCTAAATCCCAATGTATGTGTGTGTGTGCGTGCGGGCGTGTGTGTATGTGTGCGTGCATGTGAGAAGGCGGTGTTTTGTATACGTATGTGGAAATAACTTCGTAGCCGTTCTCAAGGTGAACATTTTGGTAACATAAAACTAATTAGGAGATGTCGCTCTGTGCGAAGTCTAACGATGAAAAATACATATTAATCATAATTCTGATGATTAAGATGATGAAAATGATAAAAGATAATGAGAAGCTGATAAAATAATTATAATTGTGATTAATAAGATGACGATGATGACTGATTAAATTGCGAATGACTGAGATGATGACTAAAATGATGAAAATGGCATTTGATGTGATTACTAGTGTTAGAGGTATGATTGAGGGGATGATGTCACAATATGATCATGTGATAAAAATGATAGGGACGATAACGACAAACAAGACGATGTTTAGCAATGACTTTAACATTAATGACATCAAAATGGAAAAAATGATGATGACGTCAAATTAAATTTTTCAGCTATTTCCTTTTTTGCACGCGTCAGACGTCAACTTTTTTCTACTGCCATTTCCAAAAAGATTGAAGACTCCCTTGTTAATATTTTTATCATCAACATATTTTTATCGTTTTAATGATTTTTATATTTTTTTTTTATCACCATGTTTTCGTACAGCCGTTTTAATCATTTTCGTTTTAAAATTATATACATGTATCTCTACAGCTTCACAGTAACCGTGTATGTTATTTATAATTGTGGTAGTATTTAGCGCTTCTGAGTAAGTTTTTTTCAGAAAAAGCGCTATACAAATTACTGTATGTACAGTTTCGTTTTTTTTTGTTTAAAAAATGTATTTCATTAGTGTATCTCTATAATTTTATACTACCTGAATGTACACGTCTATTTTAGTCATCACTCCTCATCATGTTCAAATACTGCTGTAACTACCTTTAATTTTGTTTCTAAATCCTTAAACAACTCAACCACTATTCTCCATATAATTGTATGTATACATCATTTGAAGAAAAAACTTGTTCCAGTAACCAAATAGAAAAGAATTGTATATATTTCATCGATTGTTTCTCAAACATACGGTCATCTATCATTCGTTAGGCTGAGCATGTGCGCAAGTAGAGATTTAGAATTTCAACTGATTGATTGAAGCACGGCTTCCATGTAGTATAGATATATATAGGCGCACATGCTGCTGTGTCTACCTTGTAGAATGTACATGAAATATACATACAAACATACAATACAATGCATACAAACAATCGCACATAAAAACATTACCCATGTACAAACATACTAATGCACATACAAAGTTACTAACTTATCAACCAACGTACAAAGATATATACAAAGTGTAATATATACACAAACGTACAGTAACGTAAACAAAATTTAGATTGTCTCAAATCTGCAAATGTATGTAGCAGAAACGGAAATTGCAGTCTTAGTCACATCTTCTTTTTCTGTTTTTTATTTCTTTTCTCTTTTTCTCTGTAGTTTTCTTTTCTTTACTGCTAGCTTTTCCTCTGTTTCACTTTTTCTGTAACTCTTTCTTTTTCTCTCTCTTTCTTCATATCTCTCTCGCTCTCTGTTGCTTTCTTTCATTCTACCTCTAGCCCTTTCTCTTCCACTTTCATGTTTTCTTCTTGTTTATTATAGCTGCATAATCCTAACTTTAAAAACGTGTAACGCAATGAAGAATGTAATGTGGAAAGAGGGCTAATAAATAATTGTTTAGAAAAATGTAGTGCATATATATCCAATGTAACCGCAGGGTAGCTAATTTGTTATAACTATGTGCATGCACACGCTATGCTGCTGGCAACTTTTAAATTTCAACCTTCCAGGCTGAATATATGGAATTTTACGGATTCATTTTTTGTATACATTTTTGTGTCTGTGGGTGTTTTACTTTGGAATTCACATAACAATATGAAATGATATGTTTTGTATATGAGTTTATTGTGTGGCGATGGATGTCCGGGTGTGTACGATAATGAGTTTGAAAGGTTTCAAAAAGCCCCTGAAATGTTTTTTTAATAAAGCCAATTCAAAATTCTAATCACAAGAGACGTCAAGCCAGGATAAATAGAATGCAATTTTTAATGAGTTCTGACAGAAAATGTATAAAGAAGAAGAAGCGTGAAAAATTTTTCATTGCATTTTTCTGCAGTTTTATGGGTGACATAAATTTTTAAAACGATGTGAGGCCAAAAAGTCATAAAAGTTGTTATCAAAAAGTTTCAAGAGGGTTTTACATTGATACTGAATAATTGATACATGCATCTTTGATATATTATACTGCAGATACTAACATGTTCACAAATAGGAACGGGTTCACAAATACGAACAGATATGAACAGACGCAAACAAACAAACAAACGACCTTCAAAGGTCATTTAATATATGTACGGTCCTCGTTTCTAGAATAGGCTTTTGACGCTTCATTCTGAATTCTCAATGAAACTGAAATGTTTCAAGTGATGGATGTGTGCGATCTCATAAGTCTATCAATGTATATGAATATATATATATTTTGTAAATATGTGTGCGTGTGTGTGTGTGTGCGTGTGTGTGTGCGTGTGTGTGTGCGTGTGTGTGTGTGTGTGTGTGTGTGTGTGTGTGTGTGTGTGTGTGTGTAGCAATAGAATATTACGACATTCCTGATAAGTTATAGTAGGCAAACAAATAAACTCATTTTATATATTTATGGATTTATTTAAATTCAATATCCTGTATTCAAAACATTTTCACCAACGAATGATTCAAACTGTTAAATTCATTTTTCTGCGGCTAGTACAGAATATAAAAGACAAATTAAAAGTCAGCTAAAAACTTAAAAAAATAGTATTTAAAACTTTTAAAAACTTGGTGAAGCTACAAAAATTTTCGTCCATGATATTTTAGGTAATTTTATTTTATTACGTATTATTCTCCGTATTACTCTGTGTTTCTCTACTTCCCACTTCATGTTTTACTCTTATCCTTTTTTATTTTCCACATAATTCCATCACAATGCATCTCATTGAGTCCTCTCATTACATTTCATTGTATTTCATGAAAAAAGCAGCTCTCCATCCCACACGGCATGCTGCATGGTACGTGACAAATCACCAAAAACGCTCTGTTCACCCCGAAAATTGCTATTTGGCCAGTCAGAGCAGCTGGAAAAATTTTATTGACATTTTTATGAACGGATGTACAACAACGGAGAATATATTTTTAGTAGCAACTTAAGAAAACCTTCATTTTACTTACTAGTTTGGAAATGTTGAATGTTGCTTCAACACGTTTCCGAGAGCGCCAGGGATGTTTTATATTTTGTTCATGGAATCCTCTGCCTGCACATCCATCCAGGTTCACACCATTTTCTGCCTTGTTCTTCCTCTTTTCTATGTTTCATCATACATAATTGTGCGTACACACACAAATGTATGCATATTTTTATAAATATATACGCATGGCGTATAATAAAATTATGTAACAAACATTTTGAATATCATATAATATAATTATAAAATATCTAAATGCTCATAAGGCTTGAATGCCTGTGAAAGAACATTAATACGTGTAATGTCAGTGTAAGCATGCAGCGATGAGAATTTCAATTCATTTTTCAAGCCATGTAGACAGACAGCGTCGTCATGGAAACATGTCATGTCACGTGACGCTGGTTCAGCTGTTGCTCCACCCATTTTTTAGATGGATGCGATGCGTGATCATCATGGTCTCCTTAGGAAGTTGTGCTTTTTTAATGAACACTCTGAACATTAGCAACAATAGGATGAATGAATACTATTAAGGTAGTACTATGAATGTTGTAAATATTTACGAATGTGTTGACCATGAGAGACATGCTGCGTACTAAATAAAAATTAAACACACATAAAAAAATAGAATAAAACAACGTACAAGCTCACACAAGTGCACACAAACATACGCAAACACATTGGTGCATTTGCGTTTGTAATTTTCAAACCTAAGGCTAAATTTGGTTATTGTTTTCCCAAATACAGGACAACAGTATTTGAACTAAACTAAAAAAAAAGAAAAAATATTGGCGATGTGGACCTCAGATATATCGGTCCCAGAAGCTCCAACTGGGAAATCATTGCGTGTTCGCTTCTTTGATTATTTCCCGCCTAAATGCCTTCTTTCTGTTTACATTGCCTTGCTGTTTGTAATATCACCAGTTAATTGTTTTGTCTCAATGTTGTTTTTTTGTCATGTTTGCCATGTGTGTGCCCGTTGCTGCTAGATTGAATGAAAAAACAAAAAAGAGAAAGAAGAGAGAAAGAGAAAAAGAAAGAAAGAAAGAGAGAGTGATGTGTAATTTAATAAAATGACGAATTTCAAAAAAATAGAAGGTATAATATATAATGTATGAGCAGTTTTGAAGAAGGAGACAACGCCTGAAAAAATGAAATTGAGTAATTTAATATAGGGAGTTATTTATCAAAATTAAAATTTCATGCATGAATAATTTGAATATTTTGAAGTTGAACGTCGGTGTCTTTAAACGTTCGTATAGGCATACACAGCGCTAACTTGGCATTTATAATATAACTAGCATAAAAATTATAAAACATTAAACTTTTAATTAACATAAAATTGAAATCAACCCAATGGCGATAATAATATTTAAGGGTACTTGGACGAAGTTTACAAGAAGGATGATTTCGTCGTCATCTGCCACATTCCTGAACTGCAGACACTACCGCTGATATCTTTCAAAAGTTGGTGGCATTATTGGAAATATTTAAAAAAGAGGATTAATATATTTATTTTAGATCACTACAATTGTCTTATAATTTTGATTATTCTTCATTCAATATTATTTTCATCATTTTTTGACTAATACTATTGTTGTTTCATTATTTTAAGCAGTTGTAGTTTTTACAAAGCATTCAGTAATAATTTTTAATATTGGATATCTGGATATCACAATTTTGTTGTTTAGACGTCATCTATCAAGATCTTTCGGCCTCCTTACAAATGAAAAATGAAAAATGGCGTCTGTGGCAGTTGACGACGATGAAAAATGGCGACTTTATTCCTCTATAGAATAAACGTCTATAAATCATTCCAAATATAAGCTGTCTTCTGAGTAAAATGCTTTAAACAGAAAAAAGTCATAAAAACAAACAGAGAAACACGTGAAGATACAAACAAAAATATATACCAAACAAGGGAAACACATTTAAAAATATGTAGAAATATTTTGCCGATTGTCTAATTAGTAGAAACGGTCATAGTGCTATGAATGCGTGCGTGTAGGGGCTTAAGAGAAATAAAGAAACGTACTCCAGTATAGGATGACATGCTCCGGTTCCACACGCACATGTGTTTGCTGTGTTGCTGGTAGCTATTGTATTTGTTGAAAAAATTATTTACAAGATTGTATCTTTAAATTTCTCTATGTAAGTATATATTTATTTTACATACACTCATGTTTTCATGAAAAATGTGACTGAATTTAAAAATAACTGTTAAAAGAATGATCGCCTGTCCAACAATCATGCACGTCAACGGTTCATCAACAAATTACGCAAAAATGCAAAATATAATTTGCGTAATTTATTTATTTATACTTTTTAATTGTTCAAAAATCACTGCACGTAGAGCAACAATTTATTTTTTTGTTTTTATTTTTGGTGTGTTCACTTTTTCCCAAAGAATTTTTTCCAATAAAATATTCTTGTGTCAACAGCTGAGTTATGGATGTCAAAATAATGATGACGACCGTCGCATTTGTCGCTGCACATTAGCATCAATTATTCATCGCCTTTTTCCTTATAGGGTAATCATCCTAACTTTATCTTTCTTTGATGGACAGCATGAGAATGTGATGCAGGTAGTTTTGAATCATTCTTTTCAACAGCCATAGCCTTATTTCATGTACACAGATCTAATCTTGAATTAGAATGTTAGAATGTCCAAAATTTAAACAAATTTAGCTCCACAAAAACTTCTAAACTCGCCCAGTGAATAAAAAAGACAAAAAATAGCAATAATAATTCACTCGAACTTTTGATCGGTTGAACTAACGTCAGGTTGATCGATACAAAACTGACACGATACAAATGCATGATATACTTTGCTATGAATGGTGGAATTTCTGGACAACAATTTTAAAACATTACTGAGGTGATTTGGTTTCAATGATTACAAAACTAATCTAAACACGTTGTCATCGTGTGGAGTAGTCAAAATCATTCCTGTTAAATACTGAGCGCTATATAAATTTATATTCAACGAAGTTCAGATGACAATGATGGTGATGGTAATGAGAATGATGACATTGATGATGGCCGTTATAATCATGATTATATAGATGAATGTGATTATGTGGATTACATAAAATGACATTATTATGATGATGATTTCAATGTTTTTAAATGATAAAGATAGAGATCGATGATAAATAAAATCTAGACAACATTCTTTTTTTTAAAACATATTTCTTTCAGAAGGAGTGGGTCTGCCAGTGGAAGAGTGGCAAAAGATGATGGAGGAGCAGATCGCTAAGATTAACGAACTACACGACAAATATGATTTTGAATTAATTTCCAAAAAGGTTTTTTGTTTAGTTTGAAAAAAAAGAAAAAAAATCGAATCAATCGACATTTCTTTCCTTTTAATTAAATATGATTGACTGGGCTTTCGATAATTTGGCTTGCTTCGCTATAAATTGTTCTTCATTTGAAACACGCTTTTATTTGGTGTATGGTACGAAAATATTGTAAGTTTATGTTGCATTGTCAACATATACTTACATGCGTGTATGTCTTTGCTTGTATTTTCACATGCCATGTGTATACGTATGCGTTTGTGTGTGTACATTAGAAAATTTTTTGGTTTTGGGAAGTTTTATTTTGGAGAATTTGTTGAAGATTCATTTAGCCTATGTGGAAAATGTGTGAGATTAATATGAAATGAACATTCCTAACAACACGTAAGCATGGTAACGAGACGATAATGTTATTTCCATTCACGCTTCAATGTTTCTCACACGGGCTTGTCATTATATTTTTTGGCGTTCCATAAATAATTCAGCTTGATGTACTGCACGCCTCACTGACGCTTTTGAGTTTTGTACTTAATTCAGCCAATACACATACGCAAGCATTCACACATTTACATCCTAACACGTCCTACATGTAACACGAAGTTAACATCTTGAATCAATAACCATATTTATTATTTTCACCAAATTTATTCACCAAAAAAATATGTTGCAAATTGTCTTGAAACATTTTAGAAATATGCGATTTCCTGAACAAACGATAGCTTGGTTTAATATTCACTTAAAAACTCTTTAGCACAAGTACAAACTCGAGTGCATTCTCACATGCGTACTACTCATTCCCACAGAAACATGAAAACACTCAGGAGACACCCATTATTTGCTTAATTAATGATGTAATACAGCACATGTAAATATGCTTTATAATGCTGTGTGTTATTCTTTTGTTATTTTACTGCCCTGAATGCTTTTTATGATGGGGCAATGGCTATTATTTGTCACTTATTTTGATTCATCCAATTAGTTAGTTAGTTAGATAATTAACTAATTAATAAACAAACTAGTTAACGCTTACGGTTGCTTATTTAATGTTAAAATATAATTCAAATCAGCTAACCATGAAACCACCCCCTCTACACAAATCCTCCATAACAGAAATCAGCCCACTATGAGCCCATCACCTCCGCAACATAAACTCACGACAGATTCCACACAAGATCAAGAGTGAGCACAACAAGTCGCCAGGGCAGGGCATCATCAACGTAGCAGAGAGCGAGAAGGCTAGGCTGATCATCATCGGCACCAGAGGGCTTGACCTCGTCAGAAGGACAGTCCTCGGAAGTGTCAGCGATTACGTCGTCCACCACTCCAAGATCCCAGTGCTCGTCTGCCCGAAGATTGAAAATTAAATCTCCGTGTAGCTCTTTTTCGGATTCTATATCTGAATTTAAAAATTTTTTTCATATTAATGCTGTTTCAAATTTGCTAAACATTTTGTGTCATATGAAACAAAAGTGTTTATTAATTTTATAATAATAAGAAAAATTTTATATTATTACCTGATAAATTTTTTGTTGTTATCATCGTGTTAATTAACAATTCAGCTTTTAATCACCGTTAATAAATGAATTTATTTTTTAATCGAAATAATTTTTATAGAATTTCCTGGCCGCTTGTTTTGCAAATGGGCTTCATCTAAAAAATATGTCATAAAATATAAATACATATTCATGCTCAAGAGATTGAGTGCTACATGAATCTGATAAAAAAAAACTATCAGCCTAATTCACTATATCAGCGTCTCATTCCAAAAATTAATCTAATTTGAGTGCATGTTCAGTAACATATAATGTGTATTTAGGCAGTAAGTTTTCTTGAATAGGTTACATATTTTGTTGAACTCGATCGAATTTACCAGGCTGTTTCTGAAAAACAATCTAGTAAATTCGATCGAGTTCAACAAAATATGCTCTCAATAATACATAATATTCGGTCGACATATTTTTGCGTTAGCCAGAAATTCCATAATTGGGGTTAGGAAATGATTCGAAAAAATATCTGTTTATGCAACAATCGAAAAAGCATTTTTAAAATCGAATGGTTTTTTTTCTAACAATCAACTGTCAAATCTAATATGGATTAGAATGTATATTTGGTATGCTATACGTTGGGCTTTATTTTGAAATTAGAATACGTTGAACAAACCCTAAACTTATCTATACTTTTGCCTCTTTTAAAAAAATTTGCAAATCGCGTTATAAATTTTTCTTATAATAATAATAATAATAATAATAATAATAATAATAATAATAATAATAATAATAATGTAAACTCTTTTATTATTCAGAGAAAACCAGTAAAATCAAAAATAGTCAAAATAAAATATGTCAATAAAATGTTAAAATTAAATATTGTATAACGTAAAATAATTATAAGATAAATAAATAAATAATAATAATAATAAATCAAAAATGATTTAGGTAAAGAAAAACAAAAAAAATTATAAAAGCGTATTCTACGTAGCTCGTCATTCAGTGAAAGAAACACGAAATGAGTACAACGAGAACAGATTAGTTTTACATTGATTCATTCCGTCAAATTTCTATCACAATAAACAGCGTATGATGAGGATATCGCAGAGTTAATAAGACTATTATAAAATTGATCAGACCAAATAATGTCGACCAGCGACAAATCGAAACAATTGAAAAAACCTAGCGGCGAAATTTCGAACGTGTTGATTATTATTTTTAAATGTTTTAAATTGTCAAGTAAATTGTTATGGAGGTTATTAGAATATTTGTCCATTTTATATTGTTTTGAATTGAAAAAATTAGACTCATGGCAGACGGTGAGCTCCAATATTTCAATTGTGTTGTCACGGAGTAGTGCGATGTCGGGACGAAGTGATTTGAAGAGACACGACAGTGGGCGGATCCCATCATAAACGACGTCTGCATACATCGCAACCTCTGGTCCTGCGCATGATTTCAATTTTTCTATTATTATATTTAGAATATTGTTATGGCGTGTTGTGTATCTT